GCGTCTGCGGCCATTGCCATGCCGTCGACAGGGTAGCCAGTATGAGCAGCGTACAGAGCAGACTCAACAACGTAAACGAACGCATTTTGACAGAGTATCAAGCGGTGGGTGATTACCCCACTGAAGATCGATTCAAGGGATAGACCTGAATTCAGATCGTCGGTTTGCCTGATATCCTCCGACACAACCCGTAGGCCTGCAGACCTAAAAGGTTGGTATATGGGATGGATTCAAAAGAAGGCCGATATGCGTCAGAAAGGGCCAACTCGTTGCGATGGAGCGATGGAGGGTGTTAAGAGAGTCGGGACTCGGATGCAGACGACGGAAGGGAGGTTAGGCAGGGTGCGTGAGGTGTGGAAGCAGGGACAGAGGCCACACCACTATCCGGTCAACACTGAACAGGTGACCGTCACCGAAGAAGCGAGTGACTGTCAAACGAGGGCAAAACGAGAGAACTGGAGGAACGACTGCGGCTCAGAAGATGATGGAAGATCTTCGCGGAGAGCAGTGGACAGGGCAGACCAGAGTCACGCCAGGCTGAGGTCGGTCTTCCTCAGGAGGGAAAAGCCTCGTCCAGATCGCAGTCACGAGCCTCGCAACTCCATGAGTCCCGCCCGTCAACAAATGCCCGGATCACACAGCCGACTTTTTTTTAGACCATTCTTTAAGATTGATTGATGATCCTGGCCTGGACGCGGATTGGCCATGTGCTGCCCCTGGGAGCCACCAGCGCCATGCGATTGGCCGATTCGGTTGCTAAGCGGGCCTCGGCTGGCATGCCGGGGTGCTTGTCGCCCTCTGATTCGCCACCCTCGCTGCACGTCTCTGAGACAGCAGATCAGCTAAGACCAGCACTCGCTCTATTTTTGGCCGTCGTCATCTTCTCCACGTGACTGGCACAGGCCTTATCATATCAGTGCAGTCCATATCGCGTATTATGTTGTATGGAAAACCGTTAAGTATCGTTATCGTGAGATGGTGAGTTTTTCGAGAATCGTCGTCTTTCATGTCTCTTCTGGTGTTTTCTACGCGGTACCAACAGCCAGTCTCGGTAAGCATCGAACCGTGGCTCCTCTCGAGGATCCAGTTCCATTCCGTGGTTCATGTTCTATCACATCTGCTGCAGTTTAACCTTAGATAGCTGAAAATCTGGTGTGTGAGCCTTTTTGCTGTGTGTATTATTGTTTGATATTGATGTGTCAAACTGCAAAAAAACAGTTGGTAAAGTATCTGTCTGGTCTTCACTGCATATATTTAAAATATAAAATGTCAGACTAACTGCATGATATACATACAGAACAGAGCAGTTCTTCAATGCCAAAATTTTGCCAATTACTTACACCGTACACATTAGCGTCAAAAGAGTGCACCAGTATCAGGACATTATTAATTATCACCGTGAGTAATAGCACCTTGCGATCCATATAACAATACTATACAGAGTCTCCCACATACCACTACTTCCCTTCCACCCCGACTATTATGGGCTCCTCCAATCTCCCTCTCATACGATCTCCGTCTTTGACACAGCCGAAGATTCACTGAGTGGCTTGCTGCGCCACGAGTTGGACCTTGCTGCAGGTGGACGGGTAGCCGTAGTGGCTGTACCTGGCGACGGCCCAGAAAAGCTGAGGGGCATCGTGGTACCAGTCGCAAACTATGAAGGAAGTTCCCATTAGCGTGAGGACATCAGATCGAGAAATGGTGACCTACCAAGCCATCCGTCGAACTCAGGGCCGTTCACGGTCACATAAGAGCCGTTGATGGAGATACCAGCGGTTGCGGAGCCGGCGTCAATGGTGACAGGCTCCCACGCTAGATGAAGATGGGTTAATTAATGTGCCTACTAATCTTGGAGTCATTACTCACCAGCATAGTTGGTGTCGGGCGCCAGGTTGAGTCCCCACGAGAAGCTCTGCCCGGTGTTGTACTGGAGAGTGGTGCCGTTCCAGGAGAATTGGGCCGCCTTCGTGATATTCGTAGTGAGGACGGCATCGTTGAGGCCGGCACCGGTGTGGTAGGGAACGACGTAGAGGTCGTTGTGCTGGGGGTTGTGTCCGCCTGTGGTCCTGAGAACGACGCCCTTGTTCTGGTTCTGACGAGACTGGAGCGGCAAGGCAGAGACCGCGGTAGCCAGAGCGGCGAGGGAGCAGACAAGCTTGGTGAAGAGCATGGTGATAGACGATAGAATTGAGATATGATGACTTCAAGCGTCGTTTGTGAGCGAGCGCGGCTGTGTAGAAGAATTTCCTTCCACGAGAGGCTATCAAGATGAATTTATATCAATTTCAAGTCACTGCCACAAACGGCTCCAAAAAGAGAGCTTTCTGTCGTAACCAAGAGAAAACTTCAGGACGAAGGACTCTGTAACTCCAGCTCCACGGAAGATCGACAATCTCGTCAGCACTAACAACGCCTATCGAACAAGTGCCCTGGACTTTTGAATCTCGCTATGACGTTACTTGGTCCCAGAGCTTCCCTGTTTGTTTGCTGTCAGCTTCTTTTGATCCCTGGGACGCTCAGGGTCCGATCCACCAGGCCCCTCAGGCTAGGTGGAGATGCACCGACAGATCCGGGAAACTTTTGTATGACCGCTGCAAAAGGCCGATAATAATAATACCTATCACCGAATTTAGCCTTGAAGTGGTCAAGTGTTGTAAATTCGTTTGCTGGGCGAAGCAATATATACCTAGGTACACCGTACTGACCTACCTAAACAAAAGACACCAAATTGCCAAGCTGGGCCTTACCCAGTTAGGTACAGTACAGTGCATACATGGGGCCAAACCGCAAGACGACGATCCCAACCCCAGCAGGCAATGTTTTTGCGGAGCCGGAGCATCACCTTTCAAATCATAGAAAAAGGCAGTAAAGCAGGTGAGACATTTTTTTGTTGGACAGCAAACAGAACGGCCAATGACAATGCTTCGAGTCTTCGACTAACTGGCAGTTCCCGCAACTCGCATATCTTTCGCTTAAGCTAAACACCTTAGATAGGTACCTAGGTACGGAGTACAGTGCCTTCTCCACTTAATTGAGTGTTGCTGCGAGTATGTAACGCATAAAAGATGCACAGTGACTAATATCGACCGAAGTACGGAGTACCTAACAAAGAATTGTAGTCGCAAGGCGGAGGCGGAGCACTCATTGTTTAACCATTAACATGAATTTAAGCGCCATAACAAAAAAAAGAAAAAGAAAAACAGAGAGAAACAACAAGGGTAGCGGTTACAGACTAGGCTGATCAATAATAGTCATAATGGTCCATCTAGTTCCATGATCTGTTCATCATATGCGATCAACAATTGTTAGACTCACACCGGATCCTTCTATATCTCATACTTGATTTGGAAGAAGTTTGCGATGAAGTTCCCAACCAATGCTATAAATATTCAGCGCTTGGAAAATAAAAATTCAACATCCTGAATCCACTGGCTGGGTTAATCTTATGGGGCACTCCATACTCCCTATCCCTAGTGCAGAAAGATTTTTTTTCTCTAGAATATAGCTAGTCCGTTCACTCACTACGGACACTGCCCGCTTCTATTCCGTAAATGTATCGACTCCGTACTTTGTAGTCCATACCTACCTACCTACCTACCTACCTACCTGTACCCTAGTAGGTAAGCAGGTAAGCAGGTAAGCAGGTAGTCAGTCAGAGCATACGTACCTGGTACCTACCATAAATAGCTCCTACCAGAAACTACCTAGGTAGGCAGCGCCTCCATCTCACGAGTTCCGGTGAAACATTCCGGCACGTACGGAGTACTCCGTAGCCATTTGCCGTTGTCTCGTTTTCATTTTAATGTTAAGTGTCGAGTTCACGGAAGAAATGTTTCATTCTGACTGTGTTGTTCTACTTCGTACTTCGTACAGAGACCTGTAATTTTTTTTGTCTGTTACCTGCTTCGTTTGGGATGAAACATGTCGATGACTACCTACCTACCTACGTTGGCTACAATCATGCACAGATGTACAGTACGGAATAGGTAATATAATATAAATAATATAACGTAACAAATCTAATAAGAACAATAACTTCTTAGCGGTCGTAGCCTGACTACAGGTAAATACGGACGATTATTGATTGCCTGAAGTTAGTTGCATTGGGAGAAAATCACAATGGAACCGGACCTAGCACAGAGGGAAAACGATTCTCATTAATCATGAAACTCTATTCCATAACCAAGGGTATCATCTATATTTCGCATCCTGATCGACGTTAAAGTACAGTACAGTACAGTGATAATAGTACACTTCAATGTGATGACGATGGCTTTACTTCCGTTTCGCATACTCTTCCTTCAACGACCACCTGCCACGACCATTCCGGCCTCCCTTCTCCAACACAGCGATCGTCTTGAGCATCTCCTTAAACTCGGCTGATCGCTGCGGCGTCGTGCAGAACCGATTGAAGTGGTCGATCAGCATCTGGGTGTACACTGATCCTCCATGTGCGAGCATGAAGTCCCGGATCATTGTCATGAAATTCAGACCACCTGCGGGGGCCGGACTATTACTATTGCGAGACGTGCCTTGACCGGATCGGTTGGCGAGGTTCGCCAGAATGCTTGCTGAAGATGGACCTGCTCCGGCCCGGCGGGCTGTGCTGCTGGCGCCTCCGACTGCAGGCTGGGCAGTTTCTTCAGGTCTGCCGGCGATACCGAACTGGCCAGTCCAGGTCGGCGTCCCAATGGGAACGGATCGTGCCGCCTCTCCAGCTTTGCGCAGTTCAGCGGCAGCTTGCGCAGCCACTCGCTTGGCTTCTGCTTCGATGATCTTGGGGTCGGCCGTCACTACACGTTTCCCATTCACAATTTGGTCGTGCTCAAGAGCTGAATGAACACCGGAACGCGCAAAGATGCTCTCCATCAATCGAGCCTCCGAGTTGGGAGCCCCCGATGTATTGGCCTCACCGCTTTGCTCTTCATCGTCTTGATACTGCTCCATGGCCGCGACTCCGGCGACATTTTTGATATCCGCCTTGTCATCCTGAGGATCTGGGGTCGGGTTGCTCTTGCTGGTGGTGGCTTTTGAACCAGACTTCGAGGTGTGGTCCGCTGCCTGGTATGTTACCTTCGCGTCCTTGAAAAGAGAACTTGTCTCTGTGGGCCCATCGTTCCCCAGCGAAAAGAGGTCGTGCAGGTTGCTCATGTCGAAGGTCTGCCGCTGTTTCGGATCCTTGAGAACTTTATTCGTGAGGAATTGTTTGAAGATTTGTCTATGATAAATCTTCTCCTCGATAGTGCCTGCCGTCATGAGGCGGTAGATGCTGACGTCGCGTTTTTGACCGAGCCTCCATGCTCTTTCGCGGGCCTGTACATCAGTAGACGGATTCCAATCAGGGTCATATATGATGACCCGGTCAGCTCCCGTCAGATTGACGCCGAGCCCTCCAACCTTGGTGGTGAGCAAAAACACGTGCAAATCTGGACTATTGTTGAACTCGTCAACTAGGTTTTGACGGTGTTGAATGGGAGTGTCTCCATCCATCCTCCGATACTTGAAACCTGGTAAGGACTTGATAAATTTCTCGAGAATGTCGAGCATGATCCGATGCTGCGCAAATAACAAAGTCTTGTGGCCCGTGTCCTTCCACAATTCAAGCAAAGACTTGACGACCTGCATCTTCCCCGATTTCGCAGGACTACCGTAATCATAGCCGGCTTCTGATGATAGCAGCTTGTGGTTCTGCAGATCAGGATGATTGCAAATCTTGCGGAGCACGTCAACCCCATAGAGTACCTGTCTTCGCCCGGCAAAAATGGCCGCCATCTCCTCTGATTGGAGGAAGACCTCGTAGGCTTTCCTCTGGAGTGGTGTCAGCTTACAGAACAGTACCTGTTCGCTTTTCTTGGGAAGATCCGCCGCAACATCGACCTTGAATCTCTGCAGGAGGTAAGGACTGATGGCATCCTTTAAGGTCTCTGCACATCTCGCAGCCGTCTGCACTTGCAGATTCGTCGCATTTGCATAACCGCCTTGACGAATGGGAAATTCAAACTGGTTTCGAAAGTCGACCAGCGTCCCTAGGCGCATCGGAAAGACGAAGTCAAACAATGACCAGAGCTCCGTCAGGTTGTTCTGCATCGGAGTGCCGGACAGAATCAGACGATGTGGCGTCCGGAGCTCCTTACAGTGGATGGTAATCGCCGTGTTCGGGTTACGAATCTTGTGTCCTTCGTCGAGAATGGCACATCCCCATTCGACCGGGATCAGAACCGGGGCATATGTTTGCAGACCCGAATAAGTGGTGACGAGGACGTGACCTTCTTCAACCACTCGTTTCACAATTTTCTTTGCCACCTTTTGAGTTTTGGTGGTACCATAAGACCGCTTGGGATCCCACATCTGAGAGGCCAGAGCATTTTCTCGGCTGCTTTCACTCTTGATATTGATCATACCACTGCCTGAGGTATGTAAAATGGACACCCGAAATGGAGGCCACCAGCGATGGAACTCAGTCACCCACTGCTTCATGACGGTTGCCGGGGTCACCACAATGACAGGCTTTGTCAGCTTCCTACTATAGTGAAGGCCAGCCAAAAACGAGATGACTTGAATGGTCTTTCCCAGTCCCATCTCATCTCCGATGATCCCCCCAACCTGTTGTTGATAAAGCTCCCAGAGCCATTGGACCCCGGTCTTCTGGTAGTCAAAGAGAACTGGATAGATATCTCCGGGCAACCGGAAGCCTCCATCAAACTCGGCATCTGGAACTGTCGGGTGTGGCAAGAACCATTCCTCTGTCTGAGCAGTTTGATGACTGTCGTCCATATGTTCTTCATGCGTGTTGCCCTCCACTGTTTCGGTTTTGGTCTTAGCAGCGCGCTTGCGGGCTGCCGCTCTTCGTTGTACCCAGCGCTTGAGTCGACGCTGATAAAAATCTTCGTTCCCATCATCGAGTCCGCGAAGATCCTCCACTTCGCCGTCTGTAGGGCTTGCTTCCTTAGGCGCCCTCCTCCTCGAAGGTTCCCTACGAGTATACTCATACTCGTCTACTGATGTCGTTTCACTTACTTCACTGTCGACATAAGTGAGCGAGTCATCTTTATCTCTCGTCGTAGCCTTTCTCCCAGATTTCTCGGCGGCTTTTCGAGAATCGCGGGATAATAGTCTTCTCCTTTTCTGAGGACGCTCAGGCGCAAAATCTTCTTCCTCTTCCGAGATCTCTTCGCCTGCATCACTAAAGTCAAGGCCAGGAAGCCGGAGTTCGCGGTGGGAGACGGCGCCTCTGTGTTTGGCTTGCTCCAGCGCTTCAGCCTCATCGCGCTCGTCTTCAGCATCGATCAAGGCGTCATGTAGGCTTGCTAAAGGGCCCTCTTTTGGTCCCGCACTGATCTTTGAGAACGGGGTGATCTTGCCTGTCCGAATAAGGTAGTCTCTTCGTGACTCATTCGGCAGCCTCCCACTCTCCGTCGCTTGGACCGCATTTTGCTTCTGATGGCGTTCATCGATGCGCTGCTGGATCTCCTTCAAGTCAACTTCGAGGGCGGATATGCGGGACTGTGCCTTTGTAATCTCGGACTGGATGCGAACACCCTGCGCGGGACCGACAGGTTGTGAGAGGCGTTGGTATAACTTGACGACTTGCATCTCGAGTTTTCTAAGCTATTGTCAATATCAAAATGCGTATAAGAAAGTTGGCTGAGAGTCATACTTCTTCTCGTTCATGGTGCGCTCTAGTCTCTTGTTGTCACGCTCATCCTCCTGCTCCATGAGCAGTTGATCGGCCTGCAGCCTTCATTAGAACCAATATCAGATAAAAAGAACCTTAATAAGGGACGCACCTGACGGCCAATATCTCTCTCGAGATCATCTTGATCACGGATACTCGCCTCGAGTTCTCGTAACCGGCTTGCTTCATCATCCTGTATTGCCCCTTTCACACTGGTTGTGTTGGGAGATTGTTCCACTGCTTCGGGAGCATTCGGCATCGCCTCTGGCGTGCTTGTGACGGACTTGGACTCGGCTTGCGAGTCCACAACGTGGTCCCCGTCCATGATCGACCAAATGCGCTATGCGTTACCTGATCTCGATGGATGGGAAGTAGGCGTCGAACGTTGCGTGCAACACAGGAACCCGCCACCGACCTGAGGATCGTGCATAAGTGGAAATGGAATAAGAGGCGGCAGATTGCCAGAACCCATCGACGGCTGCTTTAAAAATACGCATAGAACATCCGGCCGGCTAAGGGCGAACCACGCTGGAAGAGACACTGAACAGACCCTTGAATTCTTATCCGACTGATTGAATTCCAGTGCCTCAAAACTGCACTGCGATGACGGCAAGATTGGAACCGGCAGAAAGAAGGCGGCGGCCTGGCCTCACCGCCTTCAGCTGGATGAGTCATCAAGCCTGCTCACGTAACGTCATTTGGCCAGATCTCTGCTGTAGCCGCCGGTTTGGGGCTGCGTCCTGCTGGTCTCGCCATTGCCAGGCCCTGTGGCCAGGCAGCAAAACTCAATGGGAAAGAACCTCAACTCTAGAATCTAAAATCATCGAAAGTAATAACAAATGACGCTGTTGGGAAGCGTCCTGTACTGTACTCGCCAAGTTCCTTCCCCGGGCATGTCTGGCGCACCTGAAAACGGCCACAGACGCCGGACCAGTCCAAATGGGGCAGTCGACTCTGTAGACATGTAGACCAGAACGCAATTATTCCTCTGCGGCCGGGCCTGACGGCTCGTCCTGGCCGGTCTTCTACGGTTTTGGAGGGTGTTCCACGGCTTTCCTTCTGGGGCTGGCAGCCCGTTGCGCATGAGTGACAGGTACACTGGCCAGATCAGCCAGACGGATCAAGAAACCCTCACTCCCCACCAGGACGTCAAGAGTTCTATGGACATCTCTAAGGCCCTGATGCGACTGTCGTATTGTCAAAGCCTAAAATAGCCTTTCGCAGACTCCTCCTTCTGTCCTAGAATTCAAATGCAGCAGTAGGGGGGAAGTCCACTAACCCGGCCGCAGTCCAGGTCCCCCAAACACCCAACCCATTTACGATCGCCCTTCCTACTCCTCCCTTCCTCCACCACCATCTCATCTCCCCTTCACCCCACAACTTGCTCATTCTTCGCCAGCCATCTCTGCCTCCTGCTTCCACCACCCCTCCGGAGGCTCTCTCTTCGCGCTGTTGCTATCGCATTCTTCCTGCGCCCAGAGCGCCCTGTTGGAGTACAGGCCAAGCAGCTCTCGTCTACCGGGACGCTGACTAGTCAGTCAGCTCCCGCCCTCATCGATATTGGCTCGTCGCCCAACGTCGACTCGCGAACGGAACGTCTCTCTCTCTCTCTTCCATCCAGCCTGGTGCATCACTGCCCAACCAGTCGAGCCAACGCAACGAGCGTCAAACGCTCTGGATGATGAAGCGCTGCGCCTCTCGTTAGCAGCAATTCCTCTTTCCACGCGTCGCTCGCTCGCTTGCGTCAGACGCCCCTCGACGCTCCCCCGCCGTGATCCTGCCTGCGACCCCCCGTGCTGTGTGTCCAGCGACAGGTCATCGCCCTACCGCGACAAAGACGAGGGCTCTCATCGCGGCTCCTGCTATCCTCTTCTGAACTGCTGTCCGGATGAGGATTGGAGCATCGCGAGACTCAAGACATGGATCCGCAGTGGCAGAACTATGGAGACCCTTCCATGGGCCACAACAACCCCGGGTCGTACCCCCCTCAACTGACCCCCAAGTATGGCGGACAACCACCACAAGCCCAGCCGCCTGCCGGATACACATACGAGACATACCAGCCGCCGACCGCAGCCACAAAGGCGTCATCTCTCGCTCCCAACTCGAAATCTGTCTCCATGGCGTCGTCGTCTCCAGCTGCGACGCCACATAGCCGAGATTATGTCACCACCGACGCCGACACCCCCATGGAAGATGCGGACCCCTATAATCGGTCCAAGTACCCTACGAGATTGCCTCACCATAATCGACCGTCGTCGCAGTATATGCCGAATGAGGAGTCCTCCGCAGCGCGTCGATATTCTCCCATGAACATCCTGTCGCCCACGCAGCCCTATAATGCCAGTCCAACCAAGTCGCAGAATTCTTACGCAGCCCCTCCCCCGGGGTCCAGTGGTGCTCGACAGTCGTCTCCGACACGAACAAGCGCATACTCGTCGCCTCAAACATATCAATCCCCACCATGTGAGTTCTAACTACCCCCCCTTGGCTGTCTTCCTCATGATGCCTGACAGTTTGGTATCACAGCTTCACGACCCTCACGGCTTCCTCCTATCCAGTCCGCGGATCTAAGTCCAGAGCAATATTTTCCGTCATCGGCTAGCTCCCAAGCCAATGCCGCATTTGGACCAGACGCAAAATCGCCGCGATCAGGCCAGCATAACAGTCAGAACCAGCCTTCGAATCGGGGACCAATACCGAAGTTTATGAAGATAAAGTCCACACAGGAACTGCGACCTAGGCTGAATGCACAGCCTCCCTATCGACGGGCAAACCCAGAAGGGGGCTTTATCAGCGTAAGTTTCTACAGTTACACCAGAATACCCATTGGATGTGAACTAATCCCCTTGTTTAGCCATTGCAAGCCTTGACTACTCACCTTCCGGCCACCTACCGGATATGCAATCCCTCGTTCAAATATGAATCCTCCCGCAACCCGAGGCGTGTCTTGACCAAACCGAGCAAAGGGGTCAAGAACGACGGCTACGATAACGAAGAGAGTGACTACATCCTATATGTGAATGATATCCTCGGTAGCGATGAAGGGGGCCACAAGTATGTGTCCTTCCCCATGCCTTTGATAGTCGACGGCCTGTATGGATAACTTATGCTAGGAACAGATACCTTATCCTGGATGTTCTGGGACAAGGAACCTTTGGCCAAGTGGTGAAATGCCAGAATATGAAGACCCAGGAGGTCGTGGCAGTCAAAGTGGTCAAAAACAAGACGGCTTACTTCAATCAAAGCATGATGGAGGTTTCTGTACTGGATCTGGTATGGCGTCATTATCGATCTCCGACTCTCGGACATCTGCTTACGCTCAACAGCTCAACTCGAAGTATGACAAGAACGACGACCATCATCTTCTTCGATTAAAGGACACTTTCATTCATCGACAACATCTTTGTCTAGTATTCGAACTTCTTAGTGTCAACCTCTACGAGCTCATCAAGCAGAACCAATTCCGCGGATTGAGCACGACCCTCGTTCGGGTCTTCGCGCAGCAGCTTTTGAATGGGTTGAGTCTTTTGAACAAGGCTCGCCTGATACATTGCGACCTGAAGCCTGAAAATATATTGCTCAAGAAGTAAGGCCCCCCCCCCCCCCAATTTCTCCCGCTATCCTATTGTCCTCTTGCTAACATAATTTCCCTTCCCTTGTGTAGCCTCGAGAGCCCTATTATCAAAATCATCGACTTCGGGTCCGCATGCGACGAACGCCAGACCGTATATACTTACATCCAGTCTCGCTTCTACCGCTCTCCAGAGGTTCTGCTTGGGTTACCGTATGTTCCTCTTATACTCCTTGCTATGGCTTGTACTGACGTTCCCAGTTATTCCTCCGCCATTGATATGTGGTCACTAGGTTGTATTGTCGTCGAACTCTTTCTCGGCCTGCCTCTCTTCCCTGGCTCCTCTGAATATAACCAGATTGCTCGCATCACAGAAATGTTGGGTATGCCGCCAGCGTGGATGTTGGAAATGGGGAAACAAGCGGGTGAATTTTTCGAGAAAACTCAGGACGAGTTCGGGAGGAAGACCTGGCGGCTGAAGAGTATGGAGCAGTATTCTCGTGAGCATAACACCAAAGAGCAACCGAGCAAGAAATACTTCCAAGCGAACACATTGGAAGAGATCATCAAAGGTTATGCAATGCCAAGGAAAAACATGAAACAATCAGAGATTGAGAGAGGTATGTGCCGAATCGCTTTGCTTTTCTCTAGCCACTTATTTATACTGACGAATGCAGAGCTGAACAATCGCGTCGCATTCATTGACTTCGTGCGCGGCCTCCTCCAGATCAATCCTCTTGAACGGTGGTCACCACAGCAGGCCAAACTACATCCGTTCATAACGCAACAAAAGTTCACCGGGCCGTTTGTGCCGCCTATGAATTTGAAATACGCTAATCTCAACAAGACCCCTGCGCCTGGATTACAACAACAGCAACAAGCCGAAGCAGCGTGCAAGCAGAGGGCTGCACAGGCGCAACAAGCAGCACAAGCGGCACAAGCGGCACAGGCGGCACAAGCAGCGCAGGCGCAGTCCGCTGCTCAATCGGCGTACGCGATGCAAGTGAGCCAGTACCACCCTCCCTCACACAATCAACCTCCGCCGGTGTACAATGGGATGTATCCCGGTCATCAGCAGGGCGCGCCTCCTCCTTATCCTTCTCAGCCACCAGGGTATGGCCACCAGATGGGCATGTTGCAGGGTCCTATCCACCAGCCCCAGTATGGTCCTTCACAAAGCCTTTACGCGCAGGCGACAACAAGGGCCGGTCGTCAACGAGCGTCAACGTTAGACCAGCAACAAGGTGGGATCCCACCAAGTATCCAGCGCGTTGCCAGCCATCTCGACCCCAACCAACCCATCCGATTGCAGCCTAGCCCTGCATATTATCCGCCTCCACCAGACAGTTATGGTGAGCCTGCTTCAAATTCAAGACGCCGTGGGAGCCGAGCAGGTGCAGGCCATCGGAACAGGGACTTTATTCGAACCCTCGAAGATGGAGCTCTCGGTGATGGTTTTATGGGTCAGTGGCATTAATTTTAACGTCCTAAAAAGTCTACTGTAACTGTCTGAGTTTCCCGGCTTTTACTGCAATCTTCCCTGCTCGAGCATGGCCCGCTCCATTTGTGCTTCTTCAAGCACATGAAAAGCAAGGGCATTGAAGAGACCCTTTCCGTGGGTATGGGATCTTGCTTCTGTCTGCTCCGTCCGTCCGACAAGGCAGCCCGTCGTGGAAAACTGTTTGACCGCCGGATCGTACGTCTATCCGTCCCGGCTACTGCGAGGGCCGCTTATACGGGTAAAGGGGAAGAGATTTAACCAGCAGGAGAAAAAGAACTCTGGTCAGTTGGGATGAGTGCTGCATGTTATGATGCAGTCCCGTCTTTTGTGAAGGCACTGAGCTGTGTCAAGTGTAACGATCACTGTCATATCATTGTGTGCGAGCTACTATGAGTATGAAAGCCATGCCGCCTTTGCTGAACTTCTGTCTACGTCGATTCCCTTTATAATTTTTTCCTTGGATCAATGGTCTCCAGTCAGGCTCCTGTATGGTTTCTTTTTCTTGGCATAGCGCCGGCGTAACTTTGGAAAGGTCGTTCTTCTCTTTCTTGCTGCATTACTACTTCTTTTCTCGTTGCCAGACCGCTTAAGCTCTTTTCCTCTTTTGTCCTGTTTATTGGTCGGTGCCTTGCGAAGTACCACCAATAGGAACCTGATAAATACGATTCTTACTATATATATCGTGCTATGGTTTAGATGTTCCTTCAATGTGGCCCATGACTCGTAGATAATAAGGTCGCGACTGTGTAGTTCAAATTTGGCTTTTGCGTATGTCAAAGTTACCTTTATATAGATCGACCTTGGGAGATGGCTAAACTCAGCCAATAAAAGACTTTAAAAAACAGCCAAGGGTATTTGAAGGAAAAGCAATTTTACTCAGAAGACTTTCATCCTATTTGTGTTGAGTATTACTTCTTCTCACGTGGAATTGCGCTTCTTGCACTCTTTATGGAGTAGTGGGAGCCCCCGCGCCCTGACGGTGGCTAGCGTCTTACCCTATCAGGTTAAGCGGCCCCTCGCTTAAATTTCGTCGTCGCCGCCAACCCAATCAACCCACCCTCGACTCACAACGCGAGATCGCGAATTTCGCCTCATCGCAGACGCTGTCTGGAGACGAATTATCATCGTCAACTAAAGGGTCGTCGCAGCGTCAATCATTTATTTAGACGATACTGTCTTTGTGATCGCGTGTTCTCGAATCATCAAACTCGGATCAGGCGACTAATCCCAGCAAGATGTCACGCTTCTTCCACGGTGTCGGCAGTGACAGTGAGACTAGCTCCTCCGAAGAGGAGGAACTCTACAGTGATCGCGATGAGGAAGAAGAATCTGAAGAAGAAGAATCCAGTGAGGAGGAATCTTCGGAGGAGGAGGAGTCCTCCTCTGAAGAGGAAACAGGGCGAACAGGTGCTAGCCGTTTCATGAGAGATGTCTCTGAAAGCGAGGAAAGTGAAGATGAGGACAGAGTAACGGTCGTGAAGAGTGCGAAGGATAAGAGGCTGGAGGAGCTTGAGAGTACCGTCAAGCTGATCGAAAATGCCGAGAAGATTAACGACTGGGCGGTGATCTCGACAGGTGAGTACACCCTTGTGATGCTATGGAAAGATCGCGTCTTTGCAGGTTCTTGGATGATTCTAACTATCTTTCGCAGAGTTCGACAAGTTGAACCGGCAAATCACCAAGATAACGCAGTCGGGGCCCGTGCCCAAGCTATACATTAAAGCCATTGCTGATCTCGAAGACTTCTTGAACGAGACGATAGCCAAGCAGAAGGTCTCGACGAAGAAGATGAACGCCAGCAATGCCAAGGGCCTCAACGCAGTTAAGCAGCGTATCAAGAAGAACAACAAAGAGTATGCGACTGAAATTGAAAAGTATCGGGAGGATAAGGAGAAGTACATGGAAGCCGATGAGGAAGCGGAGGAGGTCAAGATTGTTGAACGACCTACAAGGGCTCGCATGGACCCCTTGGAATCTCTGGCTGCTGCAGATGAGGAGGGTTTCTCAACTGTCGGTCGTCATGGGAAGGCGTTGCAATACACCCCCGAAAGCATCCTCAAACATCTCCGCATTATTGTCGAGTCGAGAGGGAAGAAGAATACCGACCGTCAAGAACAGATCCGGACAATGGAGAAGCTACTGGAAGTGGCTCAGACTCCGTATCAACGTATTCGAGTCTATCTTACGCTCATCGCCACCCGCTTCGACCTTACCTCCACTTCAGCTTTGAGTCACATGAGCACCGAGCAATGGAAGCTTGCCGAACGAGAGTTCTCGAGTCTCCTGACTGTCCTGGAAGAGAACCGTGATCATGTTGTTACTGAAGGGGCAGAAGAGTGGGAAGACGATGAGAAGCAACCACAGGTCGCGCCGGGCGAGGTTCTCTATATTCCTGGGAGCATTGTCTCCTTCGCCGAGAGGTTGGACGATGAGCTCACGCGGTCTTTGCAGCACATTGACCCTCATACTGCTGAGTACATTGAACGCCTTAGCGATGAGCAGTCCCTGTATAACAACCTCGTCCGAACTCAGCTTTATGTTGAGGAACTTGGCAAGACCGACAAGAGTGAACCGCGACAGGACAGCATCAACCGTATTGTGATGAGGAGATTGGAACACATCTATTTCAAGCCGTCCCAGGTTGTCACCATTCTCGAGGACGCCACCTGGAAGGCGATCCCTCAGGGCTTGGACTCTTCTATCACACCTCGTGGGAAATCTACCGACGTACTAGCTCTCGTCCAGACCCTCTGCAACTACCTCTTCAAGTACAGCGACGGCATTATCCGAGCCCGGGCAATGCTGTGCCAGATTTACTTTCTCGCTCTCCACGACAACTACTATCGCGCTCGCGACCTAATGCTCATGTCCCATCTGTCTGAGAATATCTCGAACTTCGATGTGAGCACGCAGATTCTCTTTAACAGAACCCTCGTCCAAATAGGCCTCTGTGCATTCCGGGCTGGCCTGATCTACGAGGCTCAGAATACGCTTTCAGAAATCTGTGGTAGTGGGCGCCAGAAGGAGCTGTTGGCGCAGGGCATTATCCTGCAGAGATACTCAACTGTCTCACCAGAGCAGGAGAAGCTTGAGCGACAGCGCCAGCTTCCCTTTCACATGCACATCAACCTCGAGTTGCTGGAGTGCATCTACCTTACCTCTAGCATGTTCCTTGAGGTTCCGCTCATGGCCCAGACTTCATCCAGTCCCGAGATGAAACGCCGTGTCATCTCGAAGACGTTCCGTCGTATGCTTGATTACAACGAGCGGCAAGTCTTCACGGGTCCTCCCGAGAATACTCGCGACGGCGTCATTATGAGTGCGAAGTTCCTTGCCGCCGGCGACTGGAAGAAGGCTACGGAGCTGCTCACCTCCATCAAGATCTGGGATCTGATGCCGCATCCAGACAAGATTAAGAAGATGCTCGCAGAACAGATTCAGGAAGAAGGTCTACGAACCTACCTGTTCACCTATGCACCCTTCTATGACACTCTCTCCATTGCTACCCTGGCCAACATGTTCGAGCTTCCTGAGAAGAAGATTGCTGCCATTGTTAGCCGCATGATTTCCCATGAGGAGCTTGCCGCTGCGCTCGACCAGGTCAACGGTGCCATTGTCTTCCGCAAGGGCGTTGAACTGTCTCGTCTCCAGTCCCAGATTGTGACGCTCGCTGACAAGTCCATGTCTCTCTTGGAGGCCAACGAGAAGACATTGGAACAGCGCACTCAGGGAATGGCCAACGCCTTCCAGCGAGACCAAGGGGCCGGTGGCCGTGGCGGTCGTGGCCCTGGACGCAGTGGCCAGACGCGTGGTGGTCCAAGGTTGCCCGGTGGTCAGCAACGAAGACCAGGAGGTCAACAGTTCAGTGGAGGTGCATTGGGTGGTGCGATCAAGGCATAAAGGACAGTGTTTAATGGATATCATCTTTTTCACTTTAGCTTAAAAAAAGTCCTGACGCTTTCACGTCATTTTTCTTTTTCTGGCGTTTTGATAGTGTATTACAGAGACTATGGCATGACGAAGAATTGATATGTTGATGTTGACAAAAATATAGACATTATGCAGTAGGTCTAATCTATATATCTAGTAAGAAGACGACTGGTATAGGTAGGAAGCCCACCCGGAGGAAAGACAAGAGCGTATGAACCGAGGACATTTGGTTCCTGCAATCCATACATCCTTTGGTGACTCCAAATATCTCTTTAATCCAGTGGAAGCGGAGCAGGACGTTTCAAGGGCTTGTCGCTTTTCCCCATGATTATGGAGGCCTTCGGTGCCCGTAGCTGGAAAATTCCGACCAACACCTCTTGATGTAGATGTCAAGTCTCGATATGAATCCTCACACCGAGATGGACATGCGTACGTTGCGGCACTGAATTTCACTAGAGGGTGGTCGGTTGTTGTATGTCTGATCGTCTCAGTGCCGTTCAGTGTTTGCCCAAAGATAGCCATGATAGGCAATCATCGTTAGAACGGATAACCAGACGCCTTAAGTGTCCTTATATATCCGTTCAACCACTATCATCGAGCAGACTCTGAGGAGACCAATACTCGTTCTCCTCGCATTGGCTATCCACCCAGACGAGACCATCGGCCAACAAGTCGTCTATGACGGTCGTTGCCCTGGCCTTTTCCCAGTTCAGATTCAACTGTAACATAGAAACTGTTACATATCCTGCGATTTGAATTACTTCGAGCACCGTGGCTTGGTCTGTGTTGAGCTCTTTGGGGACTGAGCGGATGTATTGTTTGTTGCCGACACGGACGATGCTGAAGCCGGAGCCCAGTGGTTCGAGTGACTTCACAGCACGAAGAATATCATCGCTGTAACAACAGTCAGCTTTCATGGCCCCTGATAGGCACGGGATCCTTCGGTCACGAACTCGAAAACTTCAAGACCACCCCCGATCGCCTTCCCTCGGCCGACTCTCTTGCGACATTCTTCGACCCCTATCAAGCCCCCATTTTCGCTTCTCGTCTCTCGACAGAGTTCAACAACCCGCACGGCCACTTCAAAGTAGAAGTCATTCATGTCCCCGCCCAGTATCTGTGTCCAAAAACTGCCGCCTTCCGTTAGGCCTTTACGGCCATTTTTGCCCTTCACATTGCTCGCTGCCAGAGGATCGACCCCGATAGCGTTGCACATACGTGCAAATTCGGCGCGGAATGTGGGATTCGATTTAATGGTTGATGCATGTTCGAGCGCGAAGCTGTGTAGCAGGGATTGAAAGACTGAGAGCTGGGTCTGTAAGGATGCGAGATGAGTTGAACGCAGGTTGGCGCCGTGCGTGGCATATGACTGCGTAGCCTGATTTCGATTGGCGAAGGCACCAAGACCAACTCCGCGGCGGGTTGACATTGTCTATGCACTCTGATAGTTAAAAAACTCCGATGATAACACTTGAGTTCATCGCCAGGTTGCGGTCATACTGGAGAAAGGCGGGGGATCTGGTGACCATCTCCAGCCCTAAGCCGATAAGGGCTGGCTTGATAGCAGTGGTAACGTGACCTCGGGCGCCACACTTCTCACTCCAACCGTAAAGGGATTAGCGCACCATCCGCGCCCACACAAACCGAAATTCCTGTTATACTGAAATCGAAACTTCTTGCGATTTTCTTCTACCAGCACGACAACCTTCGCCAAACGCCGCCAACATCCGACCCTTGACGGATTCTCAAGATGGCCTCCACCTCCACGTATGCTCCCTTACCTTTGTTGTTCAGCTGATCTATCATACGAGCTTGCGGAACTTCAGTTATAGTCGTCCTTTCTCGCTGGAGATGCTGGCCTCTGCCGCACAGCACCAGCTCGATAATTCCCGTTGCCTTCTCTCCTCGATTTGGTCTTGACCTGATGATACGACTAAATTGTTTATGGAGATGAAATTGGCATGGGGTCTTGAGGTTGAAGGCGCCGCCTTCTCCTTGAAATTCATTGTCGTGTGCTATGGTCTCACGGAGAAATCTTATCCTCGGTGGACCAAGAGCGTCGACATTATTTTCCTGAGCGTCAATGCTTAGGGTTTTGTCGGATGAGGAATCTATGGTGGTCATAAGCTTATTGCGAAGCCAGCCCTCAGAAACAATTGGGCCTGGTAGTAGCGATTTTGAAGCGATGATCTGCCTTTGTCCTCACCGATCAAATATATTTCGTCGAGTTTATCGCCTTCAGTCTGAGAATGTGGCACTATAGCTGCAGTTCTTCATACTCGGCGATCTGTTGCCATATTTCATGTGGACAGACTATACTGACTTTCCGTCGATTGCAGCACCGTCCCTACCAAGGACCAGGTCCTTGTGCCTGAGACCCTCCTCAAGAAGCGCAAGAGCCAGGAGCAGGCCCGCGCTGCTCGCCGCGCTGAACTTGAGAAGAAGAAGCAGGTTAGTTAACTTTTCTATTTTTCATTATCGTGAAGAGGAAGGGAGGAGGTGGCTGGTGATGATATCTACCAAAACGCGACTAGACCCACGGTCGATGCTGTCGCCTTTTTCGTTAACCATCTTTCGGGGCTGACAGTCGACATTTCTCGCCATAAACATTATGCAAGTTTTACGATCTGTTGCTGACCAATGAATAGGCCAACAAGGAGAAGCGCGCTGTTATCTTCAAGCGTGCTGAGGCCTACGTCAAGGAGTACCGCGAGGCTGAGCGCGAGAAGATCCGCCTTGCTCGTGAGGCCCGCAAGCAGGGCACCTTCTACGTGCCTGACGAGCCCAAGCTGGTCTTCGTTATCCGTATCAAGGGGTAAGCTATGCTCTGGATTTGGTTGGTGTAGCACAATTGCTAATATGAATCTCTCGCAGTATCAACAAGATCCCTCCTAAGCCTCGCAAGATCTTGCAGCTGCTCCGCCTGCTCCAGATCAACAACGGTGTTTTCGTCCGCCTGAACAAGGCCACTGCGGAGATGCTGACCATCATCAACCCTTACGTCGCTTACGGTTACCCCAACCTCAAGACGGTCCGCGAGCTCATCTACAAGCGCGGCTACGGCAAGGTCAACAAGCAGCGCGTTCCCCTCTCCGACAACCAGGTCATCGAGGAGAACCTCGGCAAGTACGGTATCGTCTGCATTGAGGATCTGATCCACGAGATCTACACTGTCGGTCCCAACTTCAAGCAGGCGAACAACTTCCTGTGGCCGTTCAAGCTGTCCAACCCGACCGGCGGTTTCCGCCCTCGCAAGTTCAAGCACTTCATTGAGGGTGGTGACACTGGCAACCGCGAGGAGAACATCAACGCCCTCGTCCGCAAGATGAACTAAAAAAAGTTTTCTTTCTGGTGCCATCTCAAATTTTCTTACGGGATATATGGGTTGTTTTGTTGCACAGGGACTTGTTATGAGCGATACGATCTATAGTTGTAGCTTTTCCGTTCCCAATTAGGACAAAAATAGTGTTTCAAGCAACCCACAACCTTTCTGTCCAGTCTTCTGTCTTTTGTAGCAGTATGTCCTACAGACTCTCCTACGAGGAAGCCTAAGCCACCTTTCGCCGAATCCCACTATTCCACTCTGTAGTAATTATGTACACAGACCATTGATAACCTAACCTCTCACTCATCAGATAAAAATAACCTCTTGCACCCGTCTGTTCTTGTCGACGACAAGACGCAGCTGTCTTCCTTTCCAGTTCGAAGGGTCGTTGGAGGCGGACTCGTGCCCCGTGGTGCTGGGCACAAAGACTCCTTTGCGTAAGGTCTCCGTGAACAGTTCATAGGATGGGTAATCTGGGAATCAGATTGTTAAAAAAGAAGAGAATACTGGAGACGAATATTTTGCGCTCTAGATGAAGGGCCACTTACAGCCGTCGACAAATTGGTTGACTTGTTCTTCGGTCATGCCTGTGCCTTTGGCTGCGCGCAAGGTCCGTTCTTGTTCTTGACGCCAGTCGTAGACGAACCGGGTGTTTTGAGCGTCACTGGATTGGCCAAGCCAAGGTTAGATTCGTCGGTGAAAATAATGAGAAATGTATTATGGGAATGAGGGAGACGCACATGTGGATCAGAGCATCGAGTTGGCTGCGATAGGTGTACCGACCCCCAATCAGCATAAATTTATATAACCAACCAACGGCAGACCATTAAGGGCATTGATCACTTACTCAGTCAGCACGTCATAGCGCTTCAGAGCTTCGTTGATCGTGCGAACATCTTCCAGCTTAACATAGCCCAACCGCCCATCGTATCCACCCTGCTCCTTCTGTCGCACGGCAGCCTCCCACTTCTCCTTCAAGGTGGCCTCGTCAACGGGCCGAAAGCCGACACACCACCCTTCAAAAATGACCACTCTGATCTTCTCCTCGCCCTCGCTGTTGACCACCTCCCACTGCGATGGGGGAACCCGGTCGCCTTGGCCGGCGAAGGCGGATTTGTCATATTTGGGAATGGCTGTGGGCTGCTTCGCCCGGAGGGAGTCGAAGACCTTTTTGCCCAGTTCGAGATCATGGGTCGAGGGTTGACCGCGATGCTGCAGGAGGGGATTGTCCGGGTGCGCGGCTGCCAGGGCTACCTGGTCTGCATGGGTGAGATAGATGTCGTCAAGCGAGAGCGTCACCGTGGGTAGATTGTATGGCGGGGCGCGCAGGGTCTTCTGCAAAGTCGATACCTAGAAAATGAACTTATCAATACCGCTTCTGAACAGATTCGCATCGCCTCTTTTTAATCTTCAGTCGGTATGATCTGTATCTACACAGATACGAAATTTTTGGATCCTTACAAGAACAGTCTTGCCCGCACCCTGAACGCCATTCAAACCCAGAAAGAAGGGCGGGGCATCGGCATCGTCGCCATAGCGGGCTTGGTGTTCCTTTAAGCGGTCGAGCAGGAAAGGAATACAGTGTTGGGACTTGTCGTCAAAGATCTCCGGCATTCTGATGCTGCTGAGCAGTCTCTGAGGCGTCAATTGGGGTTTGTTCAGTCGCTTTCTCCTGGAAGCATATTTTGTATTTTATTCCCACGGGGCACTCTCGGAGAGCCGTCCGACAGTCCTCCCCGCAGTCACTAACTTTGTTGGGAGGCAAATAATCCGGGGAGAGACCAAACGGCCGAGAGAGGCTTTGTGGAGGAAAAACTAATCGCCTGATTGAAAGACCTCTTGTTCAGCGACGCAAGCCTTCGACATTTTCTTTCTTTCCTTTATCGATTCGTTTGATGTTCCCTATAGGACAATTGCAGAGAAGGAGGTGGACAGATCTGCACGGTGATAGTCAATCAACCAATCGTTTAATCTTTCAAGTAGCATCATTGGAGTTTTGAACTTATTGTATTATTTAGGACTAAATCACAATAGTTTGAAGCATTCTGGTCCAGATGAGAGGGTGTCTAGGGAGGTTGTGATTTGCCCGGAGGTGCATGATTCTCTTCTGCCGTCCTGGACACGTGCTTTGTATTATGTGTGGGCATCACTGAGACTGAATCACATGAATGACACTGCAACCAAGTCGATGAATGGGCCATTATTATTTATTATTCCATGAGATGACGTCGACCCGCAGACAAGCTGGCAGCAACCGTCGGCATGTGAGAGCGCCGAAGGGATCTGAGTTGCATGCGAAACCGTCTTAGTCACCGACTACGCCGAGCTTCCCTCGAGATGCCGAGGTTCCCAGCTAGCCGAGCTCTCTAGTCTTTAATTCCAACTCCCCCAGCCAACGAACACCTCTTATCCATCTTTCTGTCTCTCCATATGAACCTTTTTCATCGTCTCTGAACCTGTTTTTCTTTTTTTCTCTGGACCGCTGTCTGTGGAGGGAATCGTTTCCATTGACTGTCCCTTCCCGTGTCCGCTTCCTGTCCCGTTGCTGAGCGTACCCCGCTGCTCAGAGAGCTGACGACCATGTCCGAGCTGCGCTTCGATAACCAGACCGTTGTGGTCACCGGTGCCGGCGGTGGCTTGGGCAAGGCATACGCGACCTTCTTCGCCTCAAGAGGAGCCAATGTCGTTGTGAACGATCTAGGAGGCTCCCATGTCGGTGAGGGCAAGTCGACCAAGGTAGGTTCATTGTCCTCTTGCCATTTACTGCGGAGGTTTCTCAGACTGCACTGTTGGACTGCGTTTATTCGGAGCATAGCTAACAGACATCGAACTTCTTGCAGGCTGCCGATGTCGTCGTGGAAGAGATTCGAAAGGCCGGCGGCAAGGCCGTCGCCAACTACGACAGTGTTGAGAACGGCGAGGCCATCATTGACACAGCTATCAAGAACTTTGGCCGGATTGATATTCTAATCAACAACGCCGGTATCTTGCGTGACATCTCCTTTAAGAACATGAAGGACCAGGACTGGGACCTCATCAACAAGGTTCATGTCTACGGCGCTTACAAGGTGGGAACCCTAACATATCATATGCCGATTCAGGTTCGTGTCAGGCGTAGAAATACATGGCTAACAAAGCGGACAGTGCGCTCGAGCAGCATGGCCTCACTTCCGGAAACAAAAGTTCGGCCGTATCATCAACACGGCCTCTGCGGCAGGATTGTACGGAAGTTTCGGACAGACCAACTACTCTGGTGCGTGAAAACCTATTCTGCTTTTTGAATTAATAACGAAAGCATACTGACGGTGCTGGAACAGCCGCCAAACTCAGCCAGGTTGGTTTCACGGAGACACTCGCCAAGGAGGGTGCCAAATACAACATCCTCGCTAATGTGATTGCACCCATTGGTGAGTTGTGATCGTGGGATAAGCCTGAGATGATGATGGACTGACAATGATCAGCTGCAAGTCGTATGACGGCAACGGTCATGCCGCCCGATGTACTGGAGCACTTGAAGCCCGAGTGGGTGGTTCCCCTCGTGGCCGTTCTGGTTCACCCGTCCAACACACAAGAGACGGGCAGCATCTTCGAGGTCGGCGGTGGCCACATCGCCAAGCTGCGGTGGGAGCGTGCTAAGGGCGCTCTACTCAAGACTGACGAGTCCTTGACGCCGCAAGCCATTCTGAGCAAGTGGAACGACGTTAATGATTTCTCGAAGCCCAGCTATCCCTCAGGTCCGGCTGACTTCATGAGCCTGTTGGAGGAGGGCCAGCAGTTGCCCAGTGCCCCTGCGGCGCCCAATCTTGACTTCAAGGGCAAAGTGGCTTTGGTCACTGGTGGTGGTAACGGGTAAGTTGCCAGCTCCCACTTGATGTGTGTCTGTTCTCTTCAGGTCTTCTTTTCTAACTTCTATCCATCTAGTCTTGGTCGGTCGTACTGTCTGTTGTTCGCCAAGCTGGGAGCCTCCGTCGTCGTCAACGATCTTGTCGACCCGGAGCCCGTCGTGCAGGAAATCAAGAAATTGGGCGGCACGGCTGTTGGCAACAAGGCCTCGGTGGAAGATGGAGAGGCAGTTGTCAAGGCTGCTATCGACGCTTTCGGACGGATTGACATTGTCATCAACAATGCCGGCATCCTGCGTGACAAAGCCTTCACCAACATGGACGACAGCCTCTGGAACCCGGTGATCGACGTTCACCTGCGAGGCACCTACAAGGTCACCAAGGCTGCTTGGCCATACTTCCTGAAACAGAAGTATGGCCGTGTCGTCAACACGACCAGTACTAGTGGTATTTATGGGAACTTCGGCCAGGCCAACTATGCGGCAGCTGTATGTTGCTACCCGGAACCCTTAATCTAAGCAGTGGAATACTTGCTGACCCAGTTATTTATCTAGAAACTTGGTATTCTCGGGTTCTCTCGCGCTCTCGCTTTGGAAGGCGCCAAATACAACATCAAAGTCAACACTATCGCTCCGAACGCTGGTACGAACATGACCCGGACCATCTTGCCCGAGGAGATGGTCCAGGCCTTCAAGCCTGATTATGTTGCTCCTCTGGTGGTCTTGCTCTCCTCGGATGCCGTTCCGGAACCGGGCACCAAGGGTCTGTACGAATGTGGAAGCGGATGGTTCGCCAGAACGCGGTTCCAGCGGAGTGGAGGCCACAGCTTCCCAGTCGACGTCCCGTTGACACCGGAGGCCGTGCTTGCAGAGTGGAAGAACATTGTCAACTTCGACGATGGCCGCGCGGATCACCCTGAAGACAGCCAGGCCGGTCTGGAACGGATCATGGCGAATATTAATAACCGTTCAGGTGGCAAGAAGGAAGACAAGGCAGCGGCCAATGCAGACCAGGGTATCCTGAGCAACATCGAGAAGGCCAAGAAGATGACGAGTCAAGGCACTCCATTCGAGTACACTGATCGGGATGTAATCCTCTACAACATTAGTTTGGGTGCTAAGCGGACTGATCTTCCTCTCGTCTACGAGAACAACGAGAACTTCCAGGCTCTCCCGACATTTGGTGTGATCCCGTGGTTCAACACCCAGACCCCCTGGAACATGGAGGACATTGTTGCCAACTTCTCGCCTATGATGCTGCTCCACGGTGAGCAGTACCTTGAGATTCGCAAATACCCTATCCCCACGGCGGCGAAGACCATCAACATCCCCAAGTTGGTGGACGTCATTGACAAGGGCAATGCCGCGATCGTCGTGGCTGGGTACACCACCAAGGATTCGAAGACGGGCGAGGATCTCTTCTACAACGAATCCTCTGTCTTCATCCGTGGTAGCGGCGGCTTTGGCGGTTCTCCCAAGCCGACTGCTGCTCGACCCAAGGCCGCCGTGGCGGCCTACAAGCCTCCGCAGAGGAAGCCGGATGTTGTGGTCGAGGAGAAGACGTCCGAAGACCAGGCTGCGCTGTACCGGCTCAACGGCGACCGGAACCCGCTGCACATCGACCCTGAGTTCAGCAAAGTGGGCGGATTCAAGATCCCCATCCTGCACGGTCTGTGCTCCCTGGGTATCTCCGGCAAGCACATCTTCCAGAAATACGGCCCCTTCAAAAACATTAAAGTGCGCTTCGCGGGCGTCGTCCTGCCGGGTCAGACGCTGAAGACGGAAATGTGGAAGGAAGGGAACGTGGTCATCTTCCAGACCGTCGTGGCCGAGACGGGCAAGCTGGCCATTTCGGGCGCTGGTGCGGAACTGCTTGAGGGAGCAAAGGCGAAGTTGTAAACAGAAACGAAGCGAAGCGAATCAAACACAATATTGTAAGCTACTTCCAGTGTGTTCTTAGCATGGGTTGAAGAGATGCTGTATGTATGTATGTATGAACTGTGCCATTAATTATCTTTTTTGCTTCGAGTCGTTCATCTACATAGTCGTTAGCAATGATATGATTCCCTTTTGTTTTATTTTGTTTTAGGTATAGTACCTATGTATGTACGCTCATAAATTGATGATGTTTAACTAAAACAAACCAAGATAAGTGTAAACACTGCACTCCGTACTTCGGGGAAAAATATGTAATGACGACACGATCTACTACTACTGTTAGTACTGTACAGTACAGTACGTATGTGCATACCTATGGACGGTTTACAATGACTGAGGACTACTGGTCTTTTACAAAGATATTTCTCGTATATCTTCAGTCAGATCAGATCAGATCAGTTTAATTCAATAATGGGTGAAAACTCCATTCGTTGATGAGATGCTTGATTGATTGATCAGAGTGGAAAACACGACACGAGACGAGACCGCAAATTTATCTACCATACCATACAGACAAAGACACTGTACCGAATCAAATGGAAAAAGCAAAAACAAAAGCAAAAGCAGACCGCCATATTTCGCCTTGAAAACAAACAAACAACGAACAAAGAAAACAATAACTAGGAAAGAAAGCTGATGATAAAACTCGATAACAATCCGGGGAATTCCAAAAGCGCAACAAAGCTGCAAAACAATTGGTTCAGATCGATCGATTGATTGGTTGCAATTGCAATGAGAAGACGTACGATGCCATGACTTCCAGGTCATGGTAAAAAAAAGGTTATGTTCGGGAATAGTTATGCGATATTTCCAAAGCCAGTTGGATGTGGGAGGAAAACTCGAACGCAGACTCTGACAAATACCCAGACAAAGGACGGTAAAGGAAAGCAGTTAATAAAAGCCATAGGGCAAAAACGACACGGTATGAAGAGAATGCTGCGAAGAGCAAACGCCGTTGATGCTCGAGTTGACACCTGAAGAAACTAGGAGAAAGACGAACCAAAGAGTGCGATGGACATCGTGAGACTCGAACAGCAAAGACGGAGATAATTGGTGACCTCAACCACTCGATACATGCGAAATAATGACTCTACAGAAAACCATTGGAATCAACACGTGGCTCAGATGCATGTGCAGGAGGGTGGAAAACAAACAAGCCCAAGGCCACAAAAGGATATTCGATAAGCTATACACTGAGAAGGGTGAGTAGGGATGCCATTAACAGTGGCTTATTCACAAATCGATCTCTGGGTCTTTAGAGCCCGCATGAAATGCATGGAACTAAAAAAACCAAGTCGAGGTCAAGGCGCAATTTAAAGTGACCTGTTGTGAGGGCCTGAAAAAAAGAATCGTCTCCAAGGATTGCTCGAATGGCCGCTCAGATTTTGATTGGTGACAGCGGAGGCCCCAGCTCTGGCAGTTGCGACACGCTCCGGTTGTGAGAATTCTCAAGTTTCGCAGGGGGCGGTCGACGCCCTTTCGGGCTCTCTTCGCGTTTCGACGTCTCCTCGCTCTCCGAGCTTTGGCTGCTTCCTGAGGAGTAAACGGCGCGTTCATCGATAGCCGACTCGTGTGACGAGTTGGGAGGGCCGCTGTGGCTCTTTCCATTCTCCTTTCCAGTCTGCTCAGTTTTGCCTCCCTGCCCAGCCTTTTCAGCCTTGGCGGCAGCTTCAGCCTTTACAGCAGCTTCATACTCCTGCTCGGCCTTGAGCCACTCCTTCTCCGTCCAGCAGCCTTGCCAGCAATTCTTCCAATCGCAAACCAGGAACTGGAAGCAGAAAGCATCGATCTTCATGCACGGCTGGAAGCAAATGCACAGATTGCGGTAATCCATTTTGTTCTGTTCCACATACGAGTGTAGAAGGTTGAGATGACAGGTAATTGCGAAAAGGAGATAGTAGTTGTAAGGAGGAAGCTTCGACAGCTCATCCCGGAGCATCTGCGGGGCCGAGGTCGCGCCTGAGCATTGCTCCGCGATCCTCGCCTGGGTCTCTTTGGGCAAAAGCTCATCAGGTAACTCCCGAAGCCAGGCTTTGAACATGGAGCCAATTGTGTTGATGTCATACAAGTCCGGCTCATCAAAAAGATTGATATCGCCCTCCATATCAAAACGACGTTGCCAGTATTTCACTTCCCTCCCACTGCCTGGAACTCGATATAATCCCTCTTCTTCGCATCCCTTAAAGTTCAGGTAGTCAATACAGCGGTAAGGTAGAGCGGGCATCCAGTATTCCGTTTTGTCTTTGCAATCTTCCAACCGTTTCGAGATCCTGGTCCGCCGCGTTTGCTCGATCAGAGGCAGATTAATAACCGAACACACGTAATTGTCATCCGTAATCGCCTCTCGCTCGTTGGTGCTCCCACTCCTGGTGATCTTCCCGAGAAAGCCCTTGCCTGCTTTTCCAAGGCGGTCTGCCGCTTCAGTCGATGATTGCTTAAGGTTGTTGAAGAGAGCAGCCGAGGCACCCGAGACTTGGCTGAGGGACGCGGACGTCACCAACGACGCGCCATGGCTTCTCTCCTTTTTACCCCCAGAGTGACTGGCGGCCGCAGGACGATCGGCAGAACGGTTGCGAATCGCCGATCCAGCAGCATCTTTAAACGCTCTATCCGGGCGCAACGGTGCTGTCTTGGCCGCTTCCTGGTCATTCTGCTCGCCATTCTCTTCTACTTTGAGAAGTGCCGCGTTGGATGGCCGTCGCCGGGTAGAGAGTTTGGCACCTTGGCTGTCATCCACTCGAATTGACCGAGTTCGCCCAAGGAGATTCGCAAAGCGCGGCTTGCTCTTCTTCGAAACGGGGGCAGGGGCTTGTTCTGAATCAGGATTTTGAGGTGGTCCATTCTGATCGTCAGAAGTATTCTCGCCTGGAAAGATCATCAGTGCCAGGCCAGAAAATGAAGGAATAATTTTTCATCCATACCTTTATCGTTACCCGTCCGTCCAGAAGACTCCTGCGGATCTGAAGTTGATCCGTCACTTTTGGATGCGGGTTGCGCTCGGTCCTTAGAGCCGCCGCGACTCTTTGGTTGGTTTTCCCCCGACTGCCCTGAACTCTCGGACGCAGAGATCTTGTGAGAGGATTTCGAAGCCTTCAAGTTGGCAAAGAACGACTTGGACTGGTCACGGTTGTGTTTGGGAGAGTCCTTGGGGGACGCGGGATATTGGGGAAGGGAGGTAAAATTCGGCGTGGGAGGCTCCTCCCCTCCTTTAGGAGAAGAGGGAACAATCAGAGCACTTTCGGTTTTCGAGCGTCGGGTGACCGGTCGAATCGTGGAACCGTTCGCGAACGGAGAGCTCGGGGAGGATTTGGGAGACCGAGGGGTGAGAGGACTGAGCGAGTCCACTTTCAAGCCATCTGCGCTTTGTGACGCTGGACTCTTCAAACTCTTCTTGAAATTGGAGGACGACAAATCCAGGCTTGGGAGGGTACTCTGTCTGGAAGGCATTTTGGGCGAATATCGGCGATGGTCTCTACCCGCTGCTGAGAGCCGGGTGAGTGAAACCTGACTCTTGCCTCCGCTATCGAATCGGCCAAAGAAGGCTTGACAGAGCACCAAAAAAAAAAGGACCGTTCGGTTTGTGAAGTGGCAATGTCCTGGAGCGGTGTAGGAGGCGTAGCGGTCAGGTTCGATGGAGGGGCCCAAGATTCGGTGGGCCGACAATCTCTAGTCGCTGCCGGATAACAGGCGTTGGATATAAAAGGATAAATGTATCTCTGAAACGATGGATATAGTCAGTAAAAGACAACGGGCAGGATAACGCAGCGACAAGTGCCAGGGAGGATCAGGTGTTTCTGAAACAGACCAAGGGGAATGTTCGGTGGAGAAGGAAAGGGCGAATCGTGCTTTGCCTGGAGAGCGGAAAAGGGGACACCCAATGAGTCGTTCAAGAGAGGAAGAGAGACAAAGGATCCGGGCCTTCAGTCCGGAGCTGTCATGCTTGCCCCGAACTGTGAAGAAATCGAGGGAGACAAGGCGTGTGGAACCGTGACGTCTGGCATGGAGCGAGTTCGAGCAGAGATGGGAAGATGATACTCACCACGCCAGACCTGTCATCATACCAGTCACCAGACCCTCCTCCGGCCCTGTATCTTCAGAATCTCGAAGATTTCCAAATGTGTTCGACGAATTTTTCGCAGTCTCACACAACGCACATGGACGGCGCCAAGGTCGGCTCAGCTCGCCCCGTGGTGTAAGCACGAGGTGAACTCCGGTACGATGAGGCGGGATGTCGTCACGCACCGAGCGACGGGATTAATCGACCGGGTGGATGTCGAAAGCTGAGGAGAAAAAAAAAGGAACCAGAGTCGGATCGAGTCTTGGGATCTGCCAGTCAGTGAAAGGGCGAGTCTGGCCGTGGACGTTTTTCGGAGCGTTAGGCCGGTCAGAGATGACAACCGCACGGACGGAGCATTCCTTTCGTAGCGTGATGCAGGCGCGGCTGTGTGTCAGACTAAGAATGGCGCCGTATTACCCCGTATTCACCTCAGACTACGGAGAATACTGCAGAGGAGAGAGCCAAGGGCGAGAGGGATGGATTGGCAAAGGGGCACAGGGGGAAGAATGCCAACAAGACGGAGGACTCGCTAACAGGCGGCTAAGTACGCTCCAGGGAAGGGCGTATCTACTACTGCTAATTAAGACTACCGAGTCGAAGCGACACTGGCCCTCCAGCACCAGCGCAGGGGGCGACAGAAGGGTTAGGAGCTCGCTAGTCGGCTCGCCAGATACTCCTAAATCAGCGCAGGCAACTCTGTGCGTGTTGACAGCGCGATCCTCCACAAGCAACCAGGGAATCGGATCGAGGATGCTGCTACGCTGTGAATTTGGGCCATGCTGGCTGTGGAGAGATGGCGTGCTATTTATGACGACTCGGAGGGAGCGTACGCGCACTATTGCTTCGGTCGACCACGAGTCGATGCCCTGGCCAGCGGAGATCCACACGGAGCAGCGCGATGCGGGCCGGCCAATGGCGGGATGATGCAAGCATTGGCAGCCACGCTTCCTGCGGTGAGCGACTGGAAGAACTTTGCTGACCCCTCCTCGCGTGGTGGTTGATGGTTATGGACTGCTCCTCTTATCGCCGCTGCCAGATTGCCCGTTCCACGAGCTGCTGCCCGGCTGCTGCCCATGGTTCGGGACAGGGTTCGCAGAGCCCGATCTGCGGTCATCTGGATGGATTCCTGATCCGATTCTGCAACGCCCCGTTCATCCGTACAGACAGCAGCCACTGTTTTGCCGCAGTACGATTATTACGATTCTGGATGGAGCACTGTGCGCTCGAGAACGGTCGCTTCACCGCATGGACTCGGCAATTTGTTCAATACTCGCTAATCTTACACGCAAAAGCCCCCCTGGGCACCGCGTTCCGGAATAATAAGATATCCACACGTGCGTGAAGGGGGGGGGGACAGGGTAGACAAAGGGCGCTAGGATGCGCCTTCTGCACCCTGCAGCCTGCGCAGGGTGTGGTCGTCTGGGAGATGGCCCGGGCGAACACGAGCCTGAGATAAACTCGTGATAGTGCTTGCATGCTGGGAAGCTTAATTATTATTATATACTCCAGACGGAGTGCGAGCACAGATCCTCGAGACTTAACTCTGTAGATGGCTACGCCGATATGGACGGAGGAACGATCCCATGATCTCACCATGATTGCCCCTGCGTTTTTTAAACTTTTGGCCGGTCGACACAGTCAGACAGTCAGACTGGACGCTGGCGGCTGAGAAAGCATGGGCCCAGGGGCCAGTACTCTTAGTGCTCAGGGGTCACCGTCAACAAGCGGTGTCTTCGCAGTGCCATCACGCCCCAATCCCCCACCAGGCTTGAAACATGAAACATGGCCTCGAAAACCAGACCCCCGATTTCGAGGCTCACTGACAGGACTGTACGGAGTAAAGTCTGTAATTACCAAGTGGGCAGCCTGATTTACTCCTCAGGCGCCAGGATGATAGTCTTGCTGTGACTGGCCGGATCTGGCGTTGTGCGCTCGTCGAGGCAGCACGTGCTCGCGATCCCAGCCACCGATCGCGACGACTGGCCGACCCCTCCTGCACCGCTCGAGGATCGCTGTGCAACGGTGCTGCTAACCACCTTGCTCCGGACTCCAGATTCATCTTCATTTGCAGATCCAAAAGTTTGCCCTGTGTGATTTTTGCTTCTGCCCCGCCTTGGAGAACACGCGCTAGTGGCTTGTCTGCTCGGTTATCGATGGATCCAATCGTCTTGTCGCGACGGAAGCTTCTAGTTTGACAATTTTTTTTCCCTCTTCGACTCGCACCCAGTGGCCTTCTCGTCCTGCCTACCTTTGTGCCTTCCGTACACCACTCCCCTCCAGCCTCGATTCCAGTGGACCGTCCTGGAAAATGTCGCTGGTGTCGGGCCCTGGCAGAGGTGGCGGGGGATCTCCGGATCAGCAGGAGCTTTTCGTACAGAAACATGTGGACTACATCAGGAGTCTAGACACTGTGCGTTGACCAACTTCGCCATGACTTCGCTACCTTATCGTGTCGATCAGACCGTTGACGGTCGTCCCAGCGGAGAGATGAGCTGGAATACTGGTTGACTGAGCATCTGCGGCTCAATGGCGTCTACTGGGGCTTGACGGCCCTCCACCTTCTCAACCATCCGGAGGCACTGCCCCGCGACGAAACCATCGCCTTTGTTCTCTCCTGTCAGTGTGAGAATGGCGGATTCGGAGCCGCGCCCGGCCACGATGCTCACATGCTATACACCGTGTCGGCCGTACAGATCCTCGTCACCATTGATGCGCTCGATGAGCTGGACCGACAGGGCGGGAAGGAAAAAGTCGGAGCGTGTAGGCAATGTTCCAACCTGGCCTTGCAATGCGTTCCTTGATGCCTTTTTCTCTGTGAGTTTGTAGAGCTAAATTGTTTGCAGTTATTGCCTCCTTGCAGGACCCCGAGACCGGCACATTCAAGGGGGATCAATGGGGTGAGACCGATACCCGTTTCCTCTATGGTGCTCTACTTGCTCTGTCGTTGTTGGGACTTCTGGACCGAATCGACCTCGAGAAGGCCGTCTCCTACGTCCAACAGTGTGAGAACCTCGATGGAGGATACGGCGTGCGTCCCGGCGCCGAGTCTCATTCAGGTCAAGTGCTTACCTGCGTGGGTGCCTTGGCCATTGCTGGGCGTTTGGATCTGATCGATAAGGATCGGCTGGGCGCCTGGTTGAGTGAGCGGCAGCTCGAGAATGGGGGATTGAATGGGCGTCCAGAGAAGCTGGAGGACGTTTGCTATAGTTGGTGGGTGGCTGCCAGCTTGGCAATGATCGGACGACTCCACTGGATCGACCGCGACAAGCTTGCTGCATTTATTCTGCGCTGCCAGGTGATTCCGGCGTCTTCTTCCCGCCGTTCTGGATTGAAAACTGACTTGAGGCCAGGATCCGGAAGGTGGAGGTTTTGCCGACCGACCAGGTGACATGGTCGATGTCTTCCACACGGTATTTGGCATAGCCGGTCTCAGTCTTCTCGGCTATCCAGGCCTCAACGAAGTAGATCCTGTGTAGTAAGTCTGGAGTGTCGTCTTCGGAGATGACAAGACAGCTAACCTGAGGCAGCTGTATGCCGAGAGAAGTAACAAGGAGGTGCTTAAAGAGATAGAAATGAACTGTTTTGCTGCATGTCATGTGAGGTCCAACTACCAGGAACAGTGTATATCCTCGTCACGACCTCTTGCTATCTAATAGCCCGCTTCCTCTACTTTCCTGGACGATGGGATACAAAGCAGGAGGAGATCGACTTCACTGCGACTTATTTTCCGCTTCACCACTCCACAATTGCCTGACAATATGGCTGCTAAGACGCGGTGGGACATCTTCCCGTAACGAATAGATGGTTGCTTTGCTGTGACGGTTTAGTTAGGTAGTTTACTGAATTCTAATTTTCTTTCTACCTAACATAAAAATGATTTTATTATTGGTCTCCTCTTATGACGTTCTTGAAATCCCCCACGGGAAGGCACATTCTTCCCGTTTGGGGTCGTTATTGCCTTGCCGATGCTCGCCCTCTTCTGGTCCCGTCAGTTCTCGAGGACCAGCAGTCCTCCCCTCTTTCCTCCTTTCCATTCTTCGTCCTCTCTTTACACTCAGTCCATGCTATGGTAGCATAACAATCCAGAGGCGAGCCTGTCTCTGCTGTTTTCCTTCTTTCTGCGGTCAACATCCGCAGCTGCTATCTGTTACTTCCTCCACTGCTTGCTCTGGATCGAGCATTCGCGCCTCCCCATCGTCCATTGACAATGGATGCCGCTGCTCTCTGGTGCAACATCTGCCCAAAGCAGCCCCATTTCAGTGATGTGTCCCATCTGTTGACCCATGTGTCCTCCAAAGCTCATCTGGCCCATTACTTCAAGCTACAGGTCAGAAGCCATCAAGAGCCCGAAGCTCGTGACGCATTGGACGAATATGACCAATGGTACAAGATAAACAATCTCGCCAAGCTCTTGTCCGACCGCATGGCTTCGAAAGAAGCTCGAAAACGACGAAGTTCAGGAAAACCTGCTGCTAACGGTCGGACGTCCGCCACAACGGTCCCAGACCCGAATCCAACTTCGGGCATTGATGCTCTACGAACCGAGCCTCCAGAGCCAGATCTACTCGGTGACTTCCTGGATCCTCGTCTCTGTCAGCCCCATTCCGGCACGAGCCAGGACATGACAGACAGAAACGGCTCTTTATTGAATGGTCCTGTTGCTACAATGGGAGGACCGGCATCGGATGCTCAGGGGTTATTCTGGCCCTCTTGTCCTCCATCTTCAGCAACAAAAATACCCACTTATCCGTGGAAAACGGAGTCTGAAGACGACTCCGAACATGAGGCCAAGACGGTCTTACACACCACTCCGGCCTATTCGAACCGGGTTGGCATTGCCAACTCACTGCCCCAAACACCGCCTAGGGCAATAACCTCAGACCCCTTCATTGACGACAAGAAAAGCTGCGACGGTGATTCATATGGTGGAGTCGTGGACCAGGAGAAGGCTGATGAGATGACAAGACTGAAGGGGGTCTTATGGCCGGGGATGGATATCTTTGATTCAGCAACAGAACAGATGAGGCGACAACGCAATCAAAAGAAGGATGGAAATATCATCAAGATGATGGAGAAGACCTCTGAGGGCATCGAGCCGACGGAGCTGGTCTTTTCCCCGACTGGCATCTTGCGGAAACAGCGCGTGATTTCAGGCAACGTTGAGGATAGCAGTCCGTTGAAGGGAGAGACTCCTATTCCCAAACGCCGTGCGGTCCGTGCCAAACGTGCCCCGTTATCACAGTCAGACCCAAACCGTCGGATCGATCAAGATAAGAAGAAATCCAAGAAGAGTCGTCGGCGATCGAAACAGTCGCTTGAGGAACTGTCGAGACGGACGTTGCCCACGTCAGACAGCCCTGTATCAACTCGATTGTTTGATCGCCCCCATGGATACGGTCATTCGATTACTGATTTCGATGAAGAGTTCGGATTGTCATTGGAAGGGATTGACCAGAAGCCTCGCTCTGGTTTCCAGATCTTCAAAGATGATGACAATGAAGAACCGAAGCTGGGAACGAACGACGATATCCTGGGAGCAGAAGGGAAGTCGCCTTCGCCGGCCCCTCCTCACCCCTCCTGCCGCCCATCGGGATCGGTTTCTTTCATCCCCTCTCATAAATTCGGTTACAGAGGCCATGCTTCCAACAAAATCCCGAGCGCAAGCCACTCGTCCAATGACCAAGAGAACATTGAGCCCGTTTTGAACCGCCATGGTCGAAACGATCCTCACCCGGACGCCGGAAACATTTGGGACACTCCAGGGCGAGGCGAAGACGGATGTCATCCCTTGTACTATTCTTTTGGTGACGGTTGCTACATTGACTTTGATCCTTTTGGTGGAAGTGATATGTTCGGCTATACCAGGAACCCATTGGCCGCTTCGCGCCCTTTTCTACAACAATATCACCACGATCAGTCCCACGGCTCAGGTGCAAGAACCCGCCGTGACAGTCCTAGCAAAAGCCGTGCCCTTTCGGATGACGCCACAATCTCCGACATGGATCAGGAGGATCATGGACGCCTCTATTTTGACGGGAGCTTCGCCTAATCGCTAGAACTTCTCTTTTGTTCTCCAACTTTGTCTTTCTCCAATTCTTCGTTCATGTATTCATACTTCAAGGCATCACAATTTCCAAAATAGGGTGACAGAGGTTACCTGCATGTCCTTTGTCATTGCTGACCATTGCCTCTGCATGCATTATTATGATTTGCCCTGAAGTCTGTGTCTTGTGTCTTCCAGGTGCTCTCCTCCAATGCCACAGCGTCAATGTTGCGAGACTGGAAGACCCTTCCCATGTTACATTAGTCTTTTAAAATGTCTGCATCCGTTGGGATTCCTGTAGTAATAGCAATAATGATAATGATAACATGAATTAGGTAGGCTTATGTGGTCGGGGTGTTTGCCATCAGAGTGATTATGTAATCATAATTAATGTTAACTAACGTAATCAACCACCGAGCGACGAATACCACCGAGCGACGAATTTTCGCCGCACCCACTATAATTTTGAAGCTTTTCAACCACCAATACAATTAAATTAGACTATCTAGTAGTTGAATATATAGCTATTTATTAGGACAATTCCTTATGGTATGTCCAATAGTCCCACAGCCACTGCAGCGTTGTGGAGCTCGCCGTTGAGGCATAGGTGTAGGCTCATCAAGCTTCTCATTAAGCTGCGTATCAAGCTGCTGAATGCGATTTTGGCCTTCTTGTACAGATAAAAGGGTATCATTACCTAGAATAGCACGCCTTCTTGCCTTCTTTCTAGTTTTCCGCTCAGTCTCAGCTCGTAGAGTCCTAATTTCATCTCGAAGAAGAAGGTTCATATTCATTGCCATCTGCGCGGCCTTTTCAAGATGATGAATATGAGACATTGGGCTGCTAGAAAGCTTTTGCTTTCTTGCACTAAGGCTTTTTTGCAAGCTGCGAACCTTGTGATCCAGCTGGTGAGGATTCTGAGGAGTTTGAAAAGCAGAGGAGACTGAACTTTCAACTGAAGCTGGTGGTGTTGGCGTACGAAGCTGAAAGGTAATCTTTGCAAGAACCCGCTCTTTATCAAGTGGCTTAAGTCCAGCTCCTGCAAAGCCTTTGCATATATTGTCTGGAGTAAACACTTCTGCACGAGCAGATGGATATAGGGATAGAAAGTCTTCCTTGTCAATATGGTTGTTGCCAGCAATCATTCTCTTTTCAAGCAGTTTTCCGTACGCGCGCTTAAGCGGGCCAAAAACACCAACATCAAGTGGTTGCAGGAGATGAGAGGCATGTGCAGGCATGCAAAGACAGACAATTGCATTCTCCTTGCAGAAAGTATCAAACTCTGCAGTAAATGGCTACTATGGCCATCAAGAATAAGCAACCGCTTTGCACCAGTTGTATAGCGTCTGGAATATGGTTCAAACACCTCTTTCAACCAGCGAAGGCCTATTTCATCTGTTGTCCAGCCATTCTCGCTAGTTGCAATCCACCAGTCTTTGGAAAGTGTAGGTTCTTGATACCAAGCAGCCTGTTGAGATGCTGCTTTCAAGATAATCACTGCTGGTATATGAATCCCCTTTGAGCTCACAGTCTCAATGATTGTAACCCATTCACGGTTTCCCTGGATGACTGTACGAGGCCTTTCACTGCGTTCTGCTGCAGTAATAACCTTGGAGGTTGAGCAGAGCCCCATTGCAAAGCCAGTTTCATCAAAATTCCAGATGTCATCTTCATGTATGCCATGTTCCTGAATAGCTGCATGTACAGCTTGAAACCATGGTATTATAACTCTTGGATCCTCCTGCTTTGCACGCTGGTATGTAATCCTTCGATTATATCTTGTACGCAGCTCAGGATGGCGCTTGACAAATTTATAAGCCCAGTTGATGCCAAGGACTGCAGTAGGATCCTGTAGACGCTCACGGAGTAATATTTGTGCCATTGAACGCAGAAACTCTGGCCGAATTGGAAAACCTCGTTTATCTGCCTCTAGTAATCGCTGAATAAGTGTTTCCTCTTCAATAGCCTTTAATCTATGGCCATTAGCACGTGTTTCTGCGCGTGGTTGTCTTCCTTTAAGGCGAGCGCGAAGGGTAGCCTCAGGCACCCCAAAAATCTCTGCAGCCTTCAGTATTGATTTGACTTTTTGATTTTTATAAGCTGCAATAGCCATTTGAATTCGGTTTTCTTGAGATAAAGGCATTTTTGATAGTGGTGGTGATAAAATGACGCGTTGAAAAAAGGAAGTGGTAGGGTGGAGGAAAATTCGTCGCTCGGTGGTATTCGTCGCTCGGTGGTTGATTACGTTAAGAAACGCCCGTCGCGTCCACCTCACGCGTCAAGCTCACCCCGTCTCTGCTCTCAGGACTCCGTGGCGGAGTGGAAGTTCGCAGGTCTCCGTCTCTAATAAATAATACTGGCATTATTCCTTCTATTGCCGCTGCTATGCTGGCACCTGGCTACCATATTTAAGCCTTTTTTTTTTCTCTCCTTGGAAGGCTCGGGCACAATCTAAACCCTAAACTTTCTGATTGATGGTTCGTACACTCCGATCTTCATTTGCCGCTCTGTTCATTCAATGATTACTGTTAACGTTCGTGTAGGCAGCGGTGATTGAGGGTCGAGAATGCCTTCTCAAAAGTCGCCTTCATCATCATCGTCAACTGTGAAACGAAAGCAGCAGACCATCTCGAGTTTCTTTACCAAGAAGGCACCGGTAACTGCTAAGGAACCAGCCAACAGCCGAAGCACAGAAGCGGATACAGAACAAGAGAAAAAGGTCGCCTCGGGTAAAGAGAACGTTGCGCTGAGAGAGGATGCGGACAGTGACCTGGATGAGGATGATGAGGACATTGTCCTTCCTGCTCGAAAGCGAGTGAGAGTCAACGGAACACCCACCCTCGAGCGAGATTCTGTGACCCCACAAGGCAAATCAGACCTGGGCGATCATGTTCCTCCGTCAAGTAGTGCACGAACCGAGCGCTTCAAATTCACCAGCTCTCCTGCTCCCGAGGGATTAGACGAGGTGGAGAAGGAGGATGAGCGTCAGCGCAGGGAGAAAGAGAAACTGCATCAAAAGTTTGTCAAGAAGCTTGGTGGAGCGGATTGTGTGATTGGGATCGGAAGATCTGCCATTGGGGATGATGATGTTGCTGGTCTGGGAGAGGACGGCGATGAAGGCGATGAGGATGAAGAACCGACTCCACCACCTACCAAGGGCAAATCTGGGCCGGCAGCGAAGAAAGGTGGCTCCAAGCTTACGCCTATGGAGAAGCAGGTGATCGAGATCAAACGCAAGCATATGGACACCATTTTGGTTGTGGAGGTCGGGTATAAGTTCCGCTTCTTTGGCGAGGATGCGAGAATTGCGGCTAAGGAGTTGGGCATCGTGTGCATACCGGGAAAGCTGCGATTTGACGAACGTATGGGCCTTTTTTTTTTGGCGATGTTTCGTGCGCACAAGGATGCTGACTCTTATTGCACAGATCCGTCCGAGGCACACCTCGACCGCTTCGCATCGGCGAGTATCCCTGTTCACCGGCTACACGTACACGTCAAGCGGCTAGTCGCTGCAGGACACAAGGTCGGAGTTGTAAGGCAGACTGAAACTGCCGCACTAAAGGCCGCAGGAGACAACCGCAACGCTCCTTTCGTTCGCAAACTCACCAATGTGTACACAAAAGGCACATACATCGATGATGTAGAAGGACTAGAGGGCCCTAATGCTGTTGCTTCTGGGGATGCCACTCCCGCTACAGGGTATCTTCTCTGCATAACGGAGACAAACGCCAAGGGCTGGGGGAACGATGAACGGGTCCAGGTGGGCATCGTGGCTGTTCAGCCAGCTACAGGAGATATTATCTACGACGAATTTGAAGATGGCTTCATGAGAGGCGAAATCGAAACGAGATTGCTCCACATTGCGCCTTGTGAATTCCTCATAGTGGGCGACTTGTCGAGGGCCACTGAAAAGCTTGTTGAACACTTGTCTGGAAGCAAGACGAATGTGTTTGGCGACAAAGTGCGTGTTGAAAGGACCTCAAGGTCCAAGACGGCTGCGGCAGAGGCCCATAGCCACGTTTCTAGCTTTTATGCCGGAAAGATGAAGGTGACGGGAACTGCTGAGGATATACAAGCAAGCAGTCTCTTGGACAAGGTGTTGAAACTACCAGAGAATGTCACTATCTGTCTCTCTGCTATGATCAAGCATTTGTCCGAGTATGGCTTGGAACATGTCTTCGACCTGACCAAATACTTCCAGCCTTTCTCCGCACGGTCCCACATGCTCCTAAATGGTAACACTTTGACGAGTTTGGAGATCTATCAGAACCAAACGGATCATACAAGCAAAGGTAGCTTGTTCTGGACGTTGGATCGTACTCAGACCCGATTCGGGCAGAGGCTGCTTCGGAAATGGGTCGGGAGACCTCTGCTGGACAAGGGCAAGCTAGAGGAGAGGGTGGCTGCGGTGGAAGAGTTGCTGGATCCAGAGCGGACAACTCAAGTCGAAAGATTGAAAGCCTTACTGGGGAAGGTCAAGAGCGACCTCGAGAAGAGCTTGATCCGCATATACTACGGAAGGGTATGTTTGATTGTGGAGCTTATTACTACTTGGAATCTGACAGCTAACTGTGTCTATCAAGTGCACACGGCCAGAGCTTCTGACCGTTCTTCAGACATTGCAGATAATCGCAAGTGAATTCTCGCATATCAAATCCCCTGCGGATTCTGGCTTCGATTCACCTATTATCAGTGAGGCTCTGGCCGCTCTCCCAACCATCCAGGATGACGTCGTCTTCTTCCTTGATAAGATTAATATGCACGCTGCGAAGAACGACGATAAATATTCATTCTTCCGGGAGTCAGAGGAAACCGAAGAGATCACCGAGCACAAACTTGGAATTGCCAGCGTTGAGCATGAGCTGCAGGAGCACTGTGCTGTTGTAGCCGAAACGTTGGGAAAGAAAAAGGTGGAATATGTTACAGTGGCAGGTATTGAGTATCTGATTGAGGTTGAGAACAACTCGCCGCAATTCAAACGGGTCCCTGCTTCCTGGGCGAAAATCAGCGGAACGAAGAAAGTCTCGCGTTTCCATACCCCGGAAGTGATCAAGCTGATTCGGCAGCGTGATCAACATAAAGAGGCACTGGCCGCTGCGTGCGACAAGGCTTTCATGAACCTGCTCGCGGAGATCTCAAACAAGTATCAAGTTTTCCGTGATTGTATCCAGGCCCTGGCCGTGCTCGACTGTCTTCTCTCACTGGCGACAATTGCAAGCCAGCCGGGCTATGTCAAGCCCCAATATGCCGACGATACACGGATTGTGGTGAAACAGGGCCGTCATCCGATGGTGGAGCAGCTCCTTCTCGATAGCTATGTCCCCAACGACACCAACCTCAGCACAGATGAAACGCGTGCGCTGCTTGTTACGGGTCCGAACATGGGCGGCAAATCGAGTTATGTCCGGCAGGTGGCGCTGATCGCCATCATGGGCCAGATCGGCTCATACGTACCGGCACAATCAGCAACGCTGGGGATGCTCGACGCCGTGTTTACTCGCATGGGTGCGTTCGATAACATGTTGACCGGCGAATCGACCTTCATGGTGGAGCTGTCGGAGACGGCGGATATCCTGAAACAGGCGACTCCCCGGTCGCTGGTCATCCTTGATGAGCTTGGTCGGGGCACATCGACGCATGACGGCGTTGCCATCGCGCAAGCCGTGCTCGACTATATGGTCCGTTCCATTCGGAGTCTGACGTTGTTCATCACGCACTACCAGAATCTTTCCAGCATGGCGCGGTCATTTCCCAACAACCAGCTTCGCAACGTGCACATGCGGTTCACAGAGTCCGGAACAGAAGGCGACGAAGAGATAACTTTCCTGTACGAGGTCGGCGAAGGGGTAGCCCACCGGAGCTACGGATTGAACGTTGCCCGTTTGGCCAATCTCCCGGCGTCCGTGCTAGACGTGGCGAGGCAGAAGAGCGCCGAGCTCGAGGAGAAGATTAAGCGGAAGCGACTTGCGGCGGTTGTGAGGTCGGTACAAGACCTGATGCAGGACCGTCCTTCCGCGGAAGAAAGCAGAGAATCATTGATCGACAAACTCCTTGTGGCTGCAGAACAGCTGTGATGGCAGAGTCATCTTATTGTGTATGTACACGCTGCTTGTACGATTGTACAGTACAGTATAATACGGCGAATACGGATTTCGGAGAGCTAATACCAAGTCTAATACCAAGTCCTTGGGTTCACTCATGTATTCTACTCTACATGTAATGGCTACGCAGATATACATTTTTGTTGTTAGTAGATCCTTGTTTGAGCAAAATCATGAAAGAATACGATGGCCGAACGGAGCACATGAACGGAATATTTGTATTGTTAAAATCTTGTTAAAGGCCTTCCCTTGGTCCTTGCTCCTCGGTCAGCTGTCAAGTTACGAAGTCATTTTTCTCCCGTCTATCTATCATCGATGATGTGGTAGTAGTAATATTGAACTTGACGACACCCGAGAGAGAGAAGAACAAGGTTGAATTGTATTAGATTGGACTGTAGACCCCTTGAGTCTAATCAACACAGACACATCGTCCATCTGTTCGACTTTGCTTTGCTTTGCTTTTTTTTTTATTTCGTTCGGTCGTTCATGTCGACATTGATCACATGTCACTTGCTTGAGCATGCTCGCATTATCCTTATCCTAAGAGAGATAGAGAGAAACAGGTAGAAAAGAAAAACACAACTCCTTTCCTTCTCCCAGATTTTATTGTTTTATTTTTTTTTCATTTGTTGTTCTTAGCAACGTATCCTTAAACATAAAGATAGAGAAGACATGACGAAGAAGGAGAAGAAGAGGGCATTTATCGGAGTCTCCTGGCTTCTCTTTCGGATTCGAGCAGGCAAAGGATGTCATCGACCTTGACTGTATGACAGATCAGCATCAGCATCGTGTCATTCACCTTTCCAACTTTTTCGATATCCTTGTTTATGACCTGCGTACCTGGTCCCTTGACGTTGCGGATGATAGAACGAGAAGTGTCGTCCATGAACTCGACACGGACCTGGGTGACACCACCACGGGAGCCTATGCAGGAGGGCAACGTCAGAAACCCGTTAAAAAAAAATCATACTGCAGTAGAGCAGTGATGAAAATCGATGGTTTGGGCCATCATGATGGGCTTGCGCTGATGGCTTGCCCACGAAGGCCCTGAAAGGCTTTTCACGTACCGGTACGGCCCAGGACACGGGTCACCTTGACCAGCTTGTGGGGAGGAGCCTTGCCAGAATCCATCTTGCAGAGTTGCTTTGCTTCGCGCGCGCGAGACTGATGTCAGAGGAGGGCTGAGGCTGAGGGAGATGATCTGGTGGTGGTGGTGTTGTTGGAGATGCGATTAGGCGATTAGGATGGAGTGGATTTTGCGCCGGGCCGTTTGTTCTCTTCTTGTGTGGGTTTTCAGTTTTTGGCGAGGCGCGGGCAATGCCTGGCACGTGGACGGGCAACTTTACGCGAGGGTTCAGGGTTTCCTCATTAGTCAGTCAGTACGATACCGTAAGTAACAATTGAAACAAGAATCTGATTTATTACAAGCGCCAAAGAGGAATAATAATAGGCAATAATTATTCGGGACAAGAATAGCTAGTCTTACTGGTCATTTGGCAAAGGCGATTGACTCATCCAGAGAAAATAAACTGGTTTCCTCCTGCAGAGCACGTGTAGCCGTCGAGACCTTCTCTTCGCTGCGGCCGCGTTCGCCCCTCCCGAAGTCTGCATAGTCACGGCTTCTCCGATTTCGTCGCCGATTCATAGACCATAGATCAGACCAGCTCCTCCACCGTCTCCCACCTCTTTTGTCGTGCAATTCCTGGAGTAATCCCTTGAATTGCATTTTTCATTTTTTTTTTCGTATTTCTTTTCAAGAACTAGAATTGAGCTAACTCAGTGAGGTGCTTTTTTTTTAACGTCTCCGGTTCTACCCCGAGCAGTCGCGCCCAAGTCCTGACAGGATGGATCTTGTAAACCAGTGAGTCAATTATCGCCGGAATTGATGCAAATATGCGGTCTGGCAAAGGACGATCCATTGACTGTTGAGCGACACAGCTTAGAAGGAAGACTACTCTTTGCGGTCCCAAAAAGCAAGTACTCCGTACTGTACAATTTCACGATGACTCACTCCTTCTTTCTTTCTTGCTCCCGCTTCCTCCTCTCGATCGCCGCTTTTTTATTGCAGCGCAGAACTGAACTGACCTGAGGAAAAACAATTCATTTGATTGTCTACAGAGGGACGACTTCAGCAAGCCACTTTGGATCTCCTTGCCGGGTGCGACATTCAATTCCGCCGTGAGACCCGACTCGACATCGCCCTGGTCAAGAATCTGCCCATTGCCCTGATTTTCCTCCCGGCCGCGGACATTCCCACCTTCGTCGGTGAAGGTCGAGTCGACTTGGGTATCACGGGCCGGGACCAGGTTGCGGAGCACGATGCGCAGCTACCGCCCGGGGAGACGTCAGGCGTGGAGGAGGTCCTGGACCTGGGATTCGGCGCGTGCAAGCTCCAGGTGCAGGTGCCGCAGAAGGGAGACATCACCGAGGCCAAGCAGCTGGTGGGCAAGAACGTGGTGACCAGCTTCACGGCCTTGACGCAAGCCTTCTTTGCGAAGCTGGAGGGAGTGAGCGATGCCAGCAGTCTGAGCACCAAGATCAAGTACGTGGGTGGAAGTGTCGAGGCGGCGTGTGCATTGGGTGTCGCCGACGGCATTGTCGATCTGGTCGGTAAGTATACTCATGAATTACATACAGGTCGTGTGTCTTTGTTTCACCCTGCTGACGGTGTGCAGAATCCGGCGAGACGATGAAGGCTGCGGGGCTCAAGGCCATCGACACTGTTGTTGAAAGCACAGCGGTGCTGGTCAAGTCCAAAAACACAAAGAACGAGCTCGTAGAGCTTATTGCGTCTAGAATCCGCGGTGTCATCAGTGCGTCTTTCCCACATCCCTGTACTATGCACTAGCTAATTCTGTTTCGCGGTCCAGCTGCCCAAAAATACGTCCTTTGCCAGTACAACATTCCGCGCGAGAAGCTCGCCACAGCATGCAAGATCACGCCGGGCAAGCGGGCACCGACGGTGACCGCCCTGGAAGAACCCGGCTGGGTTGCCGTCAGCTCGATGGTGGAGAAGAAGACCATTGCGACGGTGATGGACGAGCTGACTGCTGTGGGTGCGACGGATATTCTGGTATTGAACATTGCCAACTCCCGAACGGGATGAGACAGATCGAGATACTGGAATTTTTTTTACCCCCCTCGGGCTTTTTTTAAGAGAAAATTTCGGAAGGTTGATAAAGGTTGATACCATAAACTGCTATTTCTTTTTATTTTTCTTCAGCTGGTCTAGTTATTTGATTTCTTCAACGATATCTATGGAGTCATGGCCGGTTTTGGGAAGAAACCAGAGTGAACAAAAGCGAAAATAGAAATCGATATAATAGATACAAGGGCTCTGTTTAAAATAAAATATATAGAATTGAATTCATGTACAGTACAGTACATCCATGTCGCTCAGTACGTATCATATGGAACGTATAATATAACGTAACATATAACATGCTTTATTCTTTATTTATTAAATTTAGTTATTCTTCAGACCGTCCCAGCTGCTAAAACATACCCACCATCCACAACGACAGTCTGTCCATTCAGATACTGATTAGCGACCGCGAACAGGACCGCACTGCCCATATCACGGTCATTCCCGGGCCGACCAGCCGGGACCTTCCGTTCGTACTGCTCCTTGGGGAGGAAACTCTTCTGTCTTTCATCGCTCTCCTGGGCAGTCATCTCACTGGGGAAGACCCCCGGAGCAATGTTGTTGACGCGGATCTTGAGCCCGGACGACGCGATCTCGTGCGCGAGCATCTTGGTCAGGTGGATGGCGGCTGCCTTGGAGGCGTTGTAGGCGAAGTGGTGCTGCGAGGTCTTGACGATGCCGGAGATGGAGGTGATGTTGATGACGGTGCTGGAGAAGCCCTCCTGCTGGGCGGTCTCGGCCTCAGTACCCTTCTGCAGCAATGGCAGAAACGCCCCTGTCATGAAGTACAGCTGGCACACGTTCGTCCGGTACACGCTCTCCCAGTCGTTCTCCGTGGCCGACTCGTCGTCGAAGAGCGTCTGGCGCAGCGTCTCCGGATGCTGGCGCTCGACGTCCTGCCGGGCCTGGCCCACGATGCCGGCATTGTTGATCAAGACAGACAGATGGTTCTCGCGAGACGTAAACGTCTCGACGAGCTGCGCGATAGACGCCTTCTGCGACGTGTCCGCCGTCAGGGGGATGATCTGCCCGGCGATGTTGGCGCCGTATAGCTCGGCCACCCGCTCCAGTTTCTCTTCGGTTCGGCCGACGATGTACACTTTGGCGCCGTTGACGGCTAGGGCTTGGGTGGCCATCAGCCCGATGCCGGAACCGCCGCCGGTGATGAGGGCGACTGGTGGATGTTAGCATGGCAGCCGTTTCGGCGGGTGAGTGTTGTATGCATGAATGTACAGTACTTAGGTACTGTACTTCCTGTACATACCTTTCCCTTTGACATCGAAAAGACTCGAGAGCAAAAACTCCTGGTTGTTTTTCTGGGCCGCTACTCTCGTCTCGGATGAAATATGGAGTCTTTGAACTCTGGACTGCACCTTGTTCATCAAAGGGTAATCAAAAGAAGAGAATATCAAAGGATAAGACGAAAGGTAAGGACAGCCATGATGATTGTGATGGTCTCGTCTAGCCCCATTTTTATAGCAGCCAGCCCTCGTGGATATTTTCCTCGTGGATATTTTCCTCGAGGGTATTGGGATTGAGACTGAGTCTGAGATGGAGAGAGAGATACTTGACAATGACCACGACCTGTAGGAGCAGGAGCAGGAGAAGGAGCAGGAGCTCCGGAAATGACGTGTATTAGAACGAAACATCAGACAGGTTGGGTAGGTATAGTCAAGTCAAGTGACAAGATCTAGCTATGCAGGCAATTATCGGCGTATGTAGAAAATATACATAACATAAAAGGTAACACCTCCAAGCTTTCTTCCAATCGAATAAGAGAAAATATAAGAGGTAGGATAAGTATTATAAACTATGCCATTGGGAATGAATTCCAATGAAAAAGGAGTGAGATAGTATTAAGTTCATCAGCATGACGTTACATACGTCTCATGTCCATTCTACTGCGACAGATTGGTAAGACTCACGGATTCATTCACATCTCGGTGTAATTTTTTTTAAAAAAAAATAAATATTGTCTATCTGAAATTGTTCTAGATATACAAACTTTCGTCAATAACCTCTCTTCTATCACTTGTATGTCTGGTGTCACGTGCATTGATATCAATATATCCTAATCGGGTAAGCGAGCTGTCTTCTGGTGTGTCTCATTAATAGACATTAATTAATATCCATTAAAAAGAAGGTTCAGAGTAAAAGAAGATCCCCAAGTCTATTATGGCTTGGGGGATGGTCCTTTTTAAGTATCCTCCGGTGCAAGGGAAATATTGACCGTCTGACACTCATTACACAGCTACATATTAGCTCTGTTACAAGGCAGATTATAACGTCGCGCGGTTGGCTTCAACGGCCTCCGTCAGAGGAGCCACTTCGACCATCATCTTCCCCGTGTTGACACCGGCGTACAGATCGACTAAGCCCTGGGGAGCAGCTTCAAGGCCGCCCTTCACAATGTACTCCTTCCGCTTAATCTTACCCTCCTGCAGCCACTGCGCCAACTCCTTCCGGGCGGCTGGGAACCGCTCTGCAAAGTCCAAAACGATAAAACCTTTCATTGTGACTCTTTGAGACTGTGACAGACCAGTTCCCGTCAGAATTCGCACAGGGAAGCAAAAAATTTATAAAACGTGAAAACTTACAATCATCATGAGGTAGTTTGCTGGCCCTTGTGGCTTCGCCGAATTGTACTGACTGATAGCGCCGCAGATGGCAAATCGTGCATTGCGGGCAGCCAGGCTCAAGCAGGCATCGAGAATCTCGCCGCCAACATTGTCGAAATATACGTCAATGTAATCTGGAACGGCGTTCTTCAGTTGCTTCCTCCAGTCTTCATCCTTGTAATTGATAGCCACATCGAAGCCCAGCTCGTTCTTCAAAAAGGAACATTTGTCTGCGCTCCCTGCCAGTGCGACAACGCGCTTCGCTCCCTTGATCTTGGCAAGCTGGCCTGCCACCATGCCTGTGGCACCAGCAGCCCCAGAGACAACAACCGTATCTCCCGGTTTGACGCCTGCCACTTCTAGCAGGCCAAAGTATGCGGTCAATCCCGTCAAGCCGAGGACGGACATGGCATCCCACGGCCTGCATCCCGGGGGAACGACGATCTTCTCAGCTTCCTGGGCACCCAGGACGGCGTACTCCTGCCAGCCAGAGAGTGCGACAACCCAGTCCCCGACTTTGTATTGACCTTTCAAATTCCTCCCCATCGACAGGACCTGGGCGATGCTCTGACCGCGCATGACGGCGCCACGCTCGACGGGAGCTATGTAAGACCGTTTCGCGGTGAGCCAGTTTCGCATGGCCGGATCTAGCGAGAGGTAGTGCACGCGGACGAGGACTTTGTCATCGGGGATAGGGTCTGGGATGGTGGCGGTCTTGAGAGCGAAGGTCCCCTTTGACAGATCGGGATCGATCGCGGGCGACGGGGTGTTGGCGTAGATAATCTGCTTGTAAGAGCGGGCCATTGTGACGGTTTCTCAAGTTGCTAGAGACGATTGCATGTCTAGAAAAGTATCTGCAGGGGGCGCAGCACCTTTTTCTTTTTTATGTGGTTTCATAGCGCGGTGGGGTGTAACCTGCGATCTGCCTCGGGGGCAGAAAGAGCTAATCGCGACTGCAGGGGATCTACCTCGGGATCTGACCAATTAAGCAAGATTAGTCAACGGCGCTGGAACTGCGTCAAAGACTTAAATGAGTCGAAGAGAGACAAGAGAAGATATATCTTTAGCCTCCACTCATCACTGGAAGCAATCAGTCTGAAGTTGACGGGTCAAAGACTCGAAGATGCTCTCGCATCAATACGTGCATAAATCGTGCTTAGTCAGCTGTCCAGGTTGTGCACGTGCGCGGTTGGCACCTTGCCCAATACGGCGGAGATAGTCGTGACGATGGCTTATCAGATGGAGATCTTCTGTACGGAGTACATAACGGATATACGATGCTAGATAGTGTTGGAAAAAGGTGCAATCCAGCCCTCTGATTGGCTGCCTGCAGCTTTATCGAAATAGATATTAGCTTACCTTCTTAATTAGGTATGTGCTTCTACCCAGGGATACTTCTGCCTAGCTGTGCTTGCATCTACTTCTCACTACTGCTCTCCCAGGCCGGCGTGGAGAGATTGCAACATCCCTAATGTTTTCTATTAGTTCGAATCGAGGCGACAAGTTATGATATCGACCAATCGCGTTTATTCAGCCAGGATGGAAGCTAGGCAGCAGCCTGAGGCCGCTGATGCTGCCCAAACAACCAGCACCAAAGTACACAATAAAAGTGGCGCGGGGCTTCTTCAGTTCAGCATATATGATTCCGGCACTGTATTTGTGTCAAGGAGGATGAGTTCAACAGAAGAAGAGAGCTGGAGGTTGGACAGGAAAGGAGGGCAATAAACCGAATGGCGCAAAACGGGCAATGCTGTGTTGGCGTTGCAGCTAGCGATGTTCTGGCCAGGGCTGCTGAATATTAATTAAATGAAGTCTGGGAGGAATCGTGCTAGAATTTGCGACGGCGTATTATGGCCAATGCCAATGCACTTTTATTGGTGTACCGTCTTCGAGAAAAAGATACGAAGTGCATAGTGTGCAGGTCTTGATGATTATAGCCGCAGGCTTGACGTTTGTGGGAGATAACGCGATGCGTGCAATAATATGATTGCCTAACTGCTGCTTATTTCGATCGAGAGTCACAGTGTGCTTAAATAAGAGAGCAATGGCGCGATTTGCAAACTGCAAAAACCATCTGCGTGATTGCCTGTATCCCGCGGACTTCTAAGTCAGACTGACGATGGCCACTACTTCAGGCTGCCTGCTGGACAGTGATAATCAGTTTGGTCCCCGAGTCAACATCGAGTGTCGATCTTTTGACTTTACCCTGCTGTTCGAGGATGCCTTTTTCACAGTCCTTCCTGCTGCGATATTCCTGCTGCTCCTACCGCCGCGACTGCAATTCCTCCGAAGCTCGCCAGTAAAACTGACATCCTATCGGCTGGCGATCTATAAATTGGTAAGCCCCCAGGTCTATACCCCAATATGACTTCACTAACGATGGCCTCCTGAAGTCCCTCTTAGCGGTGCTGTTTGTTCTCCATGTCCTCTTCACTGCAGTCCAAGTCAGGATGTCGTCTCTCCATACAAGGGTGTCCATGACATCGGGAATCCTCAACATCATTGCAACCTTCGCAGCGGCAGTCCTCTCATTTATGGAAGATCAGCGCTCCGTCGAGCCCTCAGACATCCTCGTGATCTACTTCTCTGCGTCAAGCATTCTCGCGCTACCTCGACTACGCTCATTATGGCTGATTCCATCTGTCGATGCCTGCAGAGGCCTATGGACGACTATCTATATCTTCACGGTGGCAATGCTATTCGTGGAATCCGCCAGGAAGACCAAGATCCTCCGTCCGTTGTATCAGGGGGTGACCAAGGAGCAAATCTGTGGTTTCTGGGGTCGAAGTTTCTTCATTTGGGTTCTCCCATTCTTCCAAGCGGGATACTCCAAGGTTCTCCAGATCCAGGACCTGCCTGAGGTTGATGACGACCTTCAAGGACAAGATGCCGGTGAAAAGCTTCAAGCAGCCTGGAAAACGGCAAAGAGTCGTCATGGGTTGCTCCGAGCTACATTCCGCGCGTATCGATGGCCTTTTCTCTCTGGCGTTGTACCGCGTCTTGTTCTGTCTGCATTCACCTTTTGTCAGCCTTTCCTCATAACGGCAACGGTCGACTACATGGGGAAGCCAGCCACAGTTGAATCCAACAAATATGGCCAGGCACTAGTAGGAGCATACGTGCTCGTCTATCTGTGTCTGGCGGTAGGTGCTGACTGCGCAACTGGAGAGTTTTGTCGTGCTAACAGCCGGAAAGGTCTCGAAGGCAGTGTACTGGCGTCAAACATATCGTCTTCACACAATGATACGTTCTGGTCTCATCTCAATGACCTATAGACAGACAACTCTTTTGAAGGCTAACGACGTGAAGGACACAGCAGCTATTATATTAATGGGCACTGATGTCGAACGGATAGTGGCTAATCTGAGGAATATCCATGAGACATGGGCGTCAATTCTAGAAGTTGGAGTCGCGATCTGGCTGTTGGAGCGCCAGGTCTTTGTTGCTTGCATTGTTCCTGCAATTATTTCCCTAGGTAATATTCCCACAATCCCCGTGATATTCTTCATTTTGCACGTACTCTCTTACTAATCCTCTTATTTCTATCTATTCAAATTGCTGAGTTTGTTGCAGCATCCGTGCTGGCAATGGTACCGGTGTCAACCAGGTCCGGAGAAGCCCAAAAGCAATGGAATAAGCGCGTGGAGAAGAGACTAGCAGTTACCTCCAGCATGCTGGGTGACATGAAAGCCGTAAAGATGCTGGGACTAACTGATATCTTGTTCACCCTCATCTCCAAATTTCGAAAAATCGAGTTGAAGACTTCAGAGCGATTCAGGAAACTGATTATATGGCAAGTTGTTTTCTGTAAGAAAATTTCAAGACAGAAACAAAGGATGAAAGGTGACTGGTGAACTGACCTTATACCTAGCAAATGTGCCACTGGACTTCGCTCCCTTTGCGACCTTTGCCGTATTTGCCATTATATCGGTTGTAAGGAAAGACGGGTCGCTGCTTTCCGCTCCGGCTTTTACCTCTCTCTCTTTGATTGCCCTTCTGACGGAACCCCTTTTCACATTTTGTCAGTCAGTGCCATCCCTGCTACAAGCTATCGCTTGCTTTCAGCGCATTGAGGTGTACTTCTTGAAGAAACCTGCACCCACGCCGGGTCTGTCAACTTCAACACAATGGCTTCCTGAGTTTTCAAACGGTGCGATGGAGCTGCGGCATCGACAGACAACTGCCTTGTCTGATACCCCTTTAGTATCATTCAAGAAAGCAGATATTTCATGGTCACCGGAAACTGAAATTGTGCTTCATGATTTGAATATGAATATTCGGAAAGGAATTACCATGATTATTGGCCCAGTTGGATCCGGAAAATCAGCGCTGATTGAAAGTATTCTTGGGGAAACGGCATTGAAGAGTGGTTCAACGACTGCGCCGTTGTCAAGAGTCGCGTATTGTTCCCAGAGTCCGTGGATCATGAATACTACCATCCGACACAACATCACCGGGGGATCGGAATTCGATCAGAAATGGTATGAATTCACCATTTCGGCTTGCGGTCTTGAAGAGGACCTAGAGAAGATCCCTGGAGGTGACATGTGTAAGGCGGGAAGTAACGGTGTTTCCCTGAGTGGAGGGCAGAAGCAACGAGTTGTAAGTTTTTATTGCCGTCAACATAAGACTGTTATAGATACTAGTACTGATGTGACGGTGTTTCCGTTAGGCTCTTGCTCGTGCCGTGTACTCCAAGCTCCCTATTGTGATCCTGGATGATGTGTTCAGCGGACTGGACTCGAAGAGCATAAGTCTGATCTCAAGCCGACTTTTCAGCAAAGAGGGCCATTTTCGTGAAACTGGAACATCAGTGATTCTTGCTACGCATACTCGTGAGTATAGATATACAGTTAACAAGCCCGCATGAAAGCAACCTAAGCTGACGACTATCAGTGCGCATGCTTCCTTATGCGGATGAGATTATCGTTCTAGATAATGGAAGGATCGCTGATACGGGATCATACGAGGAGATCTTCACGCGAATGCCAGAGATAGCTGCAAAGTCATTGACTGCTGAAGATGATGCCCCCTCATCCGTCGAGGAGTCAGCTGTTGACAAGAAAGTGGACAACCCTCAAACTAACGTCGCAGAGGAAGCAGTCAGTAAGGATGTCGACCATTTGAGACGAGATGGCACCTGGGCTGTGTATGCGTACTATTGCCGAAGTGCTGGATATATCACCGTGATCCTCTTTGCTCTTTCTGCCGCAGTTTGTGCTTTCTGTAGCAATTTTTCCAGTAAGTAAATTTTCCTGTCTTGTGCAAAAAGCAGAAGCTTAGTCCTTTTTTTTTTAAGCATTATGGCTTCAATGGTGGGTGGAGGCAAATGAACAGCAACCGAACAAGCAGCTGGGGATGTATCTCGGGGTTTACTCTTTGTTCTTCGCATTATCGTTTTTCGGCCTTATTGCGTGTTGCTGGTATGTATCCTATGCTTGACAAAATACAAATTAGACTGATCGAAAATAGGCTGCTTTTGATTACAATTATCAATAACACGGCGCTGAATCTGCATTCAGATCTTCTGACAGCAACTCTTAGGTATGTTGCGCATATCAATGTCATTGACTGATGTATCTGCTGAAACCATTGTTGTAGGGCGCCCTTTAGTTTCTTTCAAAACACAGACACGGGATCAACAACCAACAGGTACGGAGATCATGACATTCACCTCCAGTTGTCCATATATATTTTTGACATCATTTTTAGATTTAGTCAAGATATGGAGCTCATCGATATGATGCTCCCTGTTTACGCTATCAATTTTGTCGAAGGTAGGAGTTCCCAAGAATATGATCAAAATAGGTATCGACTGATCCGGTCTCTACAGGAACTTTTAGCTGTTTTGTCAAGTTGATCATCCTATGCGCTGTCGGGAAGTATCTCGCAGTGTGCGTCCCATTCCTTGCAGTGGTCTTGTCCTTCGTCCAACTGTACTACCTTCGTACCTCTCGCCAGGTGCGATTGCTAGATATCGAGGCCAAGGCACCGCTCTACACCCACTTCTTGGAGACGGTCCGGGGTATCTCGACTGTTCGAGCCTTCACTGGGGCGCTCGATTCCAGGAACAGAGCCAATGCATGCTGAATCAGTCGCAGAAGCCGTTCTACATGCTGTTCTGCGTTCAGCAGTGGTTGACACTAGTTCTGGACTTGGTGGTAGGAGCAATTGCATTAATCCTCGTGGGGATGACGACTTCCCTGACAGACAGGTTTAGCGCTGGGTCGATTGGCGTTGCGCTGAACCTGATCCTGACCTTCAACCAGTCTGTTACTCAAGCTATTAAATACTGGACAATGCTGGAAACGTCTATTGGTGCGGTATCGCGCGTCCAACGCTTTGTTGAAGATACTCCTTCGGAGGAGCGTCACCTGAGCTCTCAGCCTCCTCCTCATGATTGGCCTTGTCAAGGTGCCATAGACTTTGTGGACGTGACAGCTGGCTATAAGTAAGTTTCCTTCCCTTCCTCATCAATATGGTGGATGATATAATATGAGACCAAGATAAAACTAATAGAACCAGTCCGGAGACAGCGCCCGTTCTCAGAAACCTTTCTTTGACAGTTGCTCCAGGGGAAAAAGTTGCAGTCTGCGGCCCATCCGGCAGCGGCAAAACCTCCTTGCTCATGGCGCTCCTTCAGATGATTGAAATCCAAGAAGGCCGTGTGGCGATAGATGGCAGGGACCTGTCGATGATCGAACGAAGAGATGTTCTTTCGCGGATCAACGTCATCCCTCAGGACCCATTCTTTATGCCAGGCACTGTCCGATTCAACATTGACCCTCACCAACGCGTATCCGCTGAATGCATCGAGTCGGCAATCAAGAAGGTCGGCTTGTGGAAGCGGATCAGCGCGAACTCGACGTGGGATTGTCGGCGTCTGACTGGTCAGCTGGGGAACGGCAGTTGTTGGCACTTGCTCGGGCCCTGACGGTGCAGAGCCCTATTTTGATCCTGGACGAGGCGACCAGCAGGTAATATCACCCTTCACCCCCCGTATTTCCTCTGTATGGATGATGTTAGTCTGATCTGACTCGATGACAGCGTCGACTGGGAAACGGAGTCCATCATGCAAGCCGTTATCGAGAAAGAGTCTGCACAGCAGACAATCACCGCCGTCGTCCATCGGTTCCGCTACATTGATCGGTTTGACCGGGTCGTGCTTCTGAAGCATGGCCATCTGGTTGAATGCGATAGTCCGAAGGTTTTGCTTGAGCGGGATTCGGAGTTTAGGAAGCTCTACACGGCTTTGAAAAAGACCTGGCTGGCGTATAAAGAGGTTGGTATGTCGGAATTTACGTTTGATTTTGATTTACGTTTTACGGAAGTGATATATATGACAGTTTGCACCTGGAGATTTTCTTCAGACAGAATTGTTAGTATGTCCATGAACATTCTCCTGGCCGATAGATACGAAGGATATAATATACACCCATTTTCTTTTATGTGGTCTACGTAACAGTTCATATAACTAGATCCAGAAGCTACTTAGACTAGGTAGGTATTACGGGAACACGACTCTATATCTTTCGAGGAAGGGGCTATAGAGAAAAAGGGGGAAAGGATTGAAACGCTAAAGCACAATTAAACTCTCAAGTAGATCAATCTTATTCAGGATTATTAGTATAAATTGTCCTTTCCTAAGGGATAAAGCTACCATGATTAGAGTCAATGTATATAAGATGAGAACATAAATAGTAACAATAGCGATGAGTTACTTCTAATAAAGGGTAGCAGACAGTAAGGGTAAGTAAGGACAGAGAGGAATATATTATACTAAACTAATCTTTTTGTTTCCTTGATAAGATATCTCGCCTGAATCGCCTGGCTGATTCGCTTTGTCAGCAACCCTGGTTGAGTTAGTTCAACGTGACGTCAATCTCTCAGCGATGATGTCGGGCAGATGAATGTCAGTAAGTAGAACAACAGCAAAGAGGCAAATAAAGCGAATAAGCTTGCTTTAGCCTCCTGTCATAATGTCCACTTTGTCAGCGCGAATCGCATTGCCGAGTTCGTCAGTAAGGAACCTTTCTTTGAATAGGGTATATTCTCTGGTCTTCCCTAATAAGCAGTAGGTATATGTCTGACTGACAGTCTTCCACCACTCATCAACCAATCTGGCTAACAAGCTCGACACTCGGTCGATTATTCCAGCGAAATTTACTAGTAAGAGGACATACGTGACAGGACGAGACCATACGGCCGGACGTACCAGCCTGATATCGCCCAGCTGGACGACGAACAACACGCACCACCGCGGTGCCTTGAGAACGGTCGTCTCCAAGGCAGAAAGCTCAAACAAGGGCTCGCAGCGGTCGAGCATCTTGAACAAGCTCGACAACAGCAGGACCGGCGAGATGACCAGCAGGACGGATTCCGGTTCCGATTACAGCCGGTCAGGCGTCGTCCCCGGCTCATCGACTGGAGCGCCCGCCGCACCGTCGACAGCGGCGTCGAGCAACTACAACAAGAACATCGCACAGCAGTACAATCCTGCGACGGGGACGGGGTACAACCCAGGCCAGCAGCAGCAGCAAGGGTCGTCCAGCACGGCTGGTGGGAACGGCAACGCTACGACTGGCACCACCGGAGGGGGGTTTGGGCGTCGCATGGAGCGTGTTCTGGCAGGGATTCACGTGAGTTGATTGATATCATTCTTGATCGAACCTCCATACGGAGTCTATTGCTAACTAACGTTGATGATGAGGGCGCCGGTGAATCACTCCGCGGCACCGTCGGCGTCGCCATTGACCGCGCGTTCGGCGACACGAAGGGCGTGGAGAAGAACGAGGCCATTGCTAAGGAAGGGGAGTACGAGGTGCAGTCGGGCAACATTGCGTCGTCGACCAAGGCGAGGGAGGGGATTAAGCCTAATAATAGGTAGGAGGTTGGTATGATCATGTGTGAGACGAGTTTGAGGGTGATATATCTATATTTGTATATTCACGATTGGTACGACGCTGTAACTATTTCATATTAGCATCTGCTCTCGAAGGCTGTCTTATGAAAATGTATATTATTAGCAGCAATGGGAAATAATTCTCCCCAGCATCTATGTAGGTAGAAAGCAAAGCAATTAAGAAAGGAAACAAACTTATTAACTAGGTATGACCAAGAGCATACATAGATCTACCTACCTATCTGGCCGAGTCTGGGGGTCCACTTTTTGGAACCCGTGGATCTCTCAGTACTGTACAGAGGCAGGGAGTGAGATGGTGGATAACCCGACAAAGAGGCCTCTTGCCAATCAATACAGAATGAATTTACATGACGATGGGCGGGTGAAAGTGGTACGTATGCGGGGGTGTTGGTGTTGCGAAGATTAGCTGGATGTAGTCGGTACACAAAGTGTATCAAATGTGTGCATACATTCCATTACATACTTAGACCTATTATTATTCACGTATCCCATCTCCAAGGCTCAATAAATCAATTGCCTATCTCCCTCCGTTATATAATAAATACTCCGCAAATAAGCGGGGATGCTGGTCTGGCCGGGCCGCCCGGTTCGAGATTTAGGATTTACGTCATCACACTACACCGGAGGACATACTCTACCGCAGATCATTACTTGGACAAGACTTAGCTAGCTGCTAGTTAGCTACCGATCTAGATAAGCGAGATGGGACGTGACGAATTTCATGTGATTAATGGTCCATGGACGAGAGACAGATAGGTGACTGGTGACGTGGACGGAGCGAGGCTGAGGCTGAGTATGTAGTAGTACGTCCCGTCCAGTGCAAAAGAGGGAAAAAATAGCAGCATGTAGTCCACACTGCTTGGGTATCGGTTGGGTATACTCCGGAGTAGATAGCATAGGTCATGAAATTCAGATCTCGCCCGATCACATGATAGTGACAATGCCTGGTTTAAAGACAGTAACAAGGACAACACTGAAAAGCCCCCTCCCTACCGAAAAAAAAATACAATTGCTGCAGATTCTGCGGATTTAATATTTTCGGATGAATGCTAGGACAAAAAAATGACAAAAAACACATATAACGACGTAAAGTGGGTAAAAAGAGCTGGATGACAAGGCCGCGATTCGAACGCGGGAATCTTACGAAATCAGGGATCAATACCTAAACCTGACGCCTTAACCACTCGGCCACCTTGCCTTCCCAGCTAACCATTAGTGGGGCGGTTTATCGTATATATAGTGAACCTGTCAATATTCGCTATACCGATCAGGCAGGGCGTACGGAGACCGAATGAGTGTCTGCTAGGCCTAGATCTTTGCCCTAATTCTCCTCCGTACTAATTATATACCACTGATTAGTTTACCTACCTAGGCAGGTAAATACTATCCGATTAGGCCGCCCAATGTACTCCGTATGTACCTAAACTAAAACCCCAGCCTCCCGGTTTTTCTAAATTTGCCTCTCTTTTGCAGGACTGAGTCGACTACGCCGTCGCTAAGCTTAAGTCCAAGTTAAAAAAGTGTCCACTGATCGATGTGATCGGTAAGCAGACTCGCTGATTGGTCCAGTCTCGGCACCTGGTTCCAACGTTCCATTTAAGTTTACGTTTTCCAGCCTGCCGGCACTGCCCGGATAGCGGGACCCTTTCCCCTGCCATTCCGTGAATTTATTAATACGCACGGTGATGGTCGAATCGAGTTGTTTTGCTCGTGAATTCGCTGTCATACGGCCGTCAGGCTCAACTAGTACATACATACAGACTGCAGTCCTGGACAGAAGATACATACGGAGTACATTCATAGATAAGGAGTAATTATTCTGTGATTGTTTGCTGGTTGGGAATACATACATACATACACACATACCTGCATGTGATTTCTTTCCTTGTCTTCTTCATACGCAATTTTCTTCTCAATGGACATTGGGCGGATTCGATCTCGCGCGGAGTGCTCTACTTCTGCTGGGTAGCAAGGAAAAAGGAAAGACGGAAAGATTTGGGAAATACTGTTTCGCGCGTTGAATTTTCTATATTCCTCTCAGACTTGCGAGTGGAAATTTCTCTTGTGTTACATGATTGCAGCTGCCAGCATGGACACGGTTAACAAACCGGATGGCATCACGCCATGCATGGCGCCCAGGGAAAAGCGCCAGAGTCAACAGGACCAGCACCAGATCAATGGCTCGACACAAAAAGTCTCAGACAGCGATCATTACCTCAGCTCCGACAACGATGATGCCCCCGTCCGCCCCGTGGCCATGGCAGAGGCCGACGAGGCTGAGGACGTGCTGGGCGTCAGCATCAGCCGCACTCAGAGCCGCATGAAGGCGCGCCAGACGCCCGCAGAGGAGAAATCCAGAATCATGGAGAGGTCCGGAGGGTACTTCGACCCCGTCCCGGACACGGAACCCGACGGCGACTATCTGCCCAGCTTGACGGCAGAACCGGAGTCTCTGCCGGTAGAGCAAGAGACGAAGAAGAAGAAGGCCGACAGAGAGGCCGAAAAACCACATGAGGCGAAAGATCGAGAAACAAAAGAGACCAGGGATCAGCCGCGTACCAGCTTCACCAGGTCTCTTCTCAAAAGTGGCTCCGTCCGGCGTCTGACGTGGTCGGGCGATGCCATCTCGAATCTCAATCTCAAAAAGCTTCTCCCGGATTTGAGTTCTCTCACCAAACGGACTTCTCTGTCATCATCAAAAACGGGTTCGGGCACTGGTCGCCCGCGCAGCCAGCATGTCAAGTCGACGAGTACCGGCAGTGCTCAGTTGGACTCTCAGCAAGACAGACAACTCCCTGCTGGCCAACTCTCTGAGGACAGTTCCGCCTTCCCCAGCGAAACCGAGACCCCAACCTCCGGGGAAGACGGGGTAGCCGCATTGAAGCCGCTCGACAGCGCCACTCATTCACATCAGCATCGGCCCAGTGTTGCGAGCCAACGGCCTCCGCTCAGTTTACGCCGCTCAGCATCGGACCAGAGTCTGTATGTGAGGAGCCTATCTCGCACCTCGACTTTGGACCAGCGTCGTCCATTTGAAAATGTGCACTCCCAGGTCAACAGCCGCTTCCAGGCCATCAAGGACAGCCTGCAAGACTCGAGCAGTCGGTTGCTCAGCATGCCAAACTTCAACCTCCCAGACATCCGGGGCGAGTGGAACCCCGGACGGTTTCTCAGTGATGGATCCCAGCGGAAAGACACTCAGACAAACGAGACGCAGCCCAATGGGGCCCCTCCGCCAAGGCAGAACACCATGTATCCCATCCTGACAGAGGCACTGTCGCACATGACCGGTGACGTGGTTGTCATGGGCGGATATCGAGGATCCGTTCTGCGTTCGGCGAAACCGCCTCATCGCCAGCTCTGGGTTCCGATGAAAGTGGGCTTGAATATCCGCAAAGTCGACTTGGAGGTCGGATTGACCCACGAGGACGAGGAGCGGATGGAGGAGACGATTATCGCGTCCGAAGTCCTATCTCACATCGGCCCGGTGGATATCTGTCGACGGCTGATGCATAAGATGCGCAAATGTGAGAATTCCCGGAAAGGCGAGCTCCGCGTCTGGGACTACGGGTACGACTGGCGTCTGAGTCCGCATTACTTGTCGAAACGGTTGATCAAATTTCTTGAAGGCCTGCCGTGCAACGCCCCTGGGGTCCCGCGGGAGAAGCGAGGGGCTTTTGTCGTCGCACACAGTCTCGGAGGGCTGATTACTCGACATGCCGTGAACCAGCGGCCGGAGCTGTTTGCCGGAGTCGTGTACGCGGGCACCCCTCAGCACTGCGTTAATATTCTGGGCCCGCTGCGAAACGGCGACGACGTGCTGCTCAGCTCGCGCGTGCTGACGGCGCAGGTGAACTTTACCTTCCGGACCAGTTATGCACTGCTCCCGGAGGATGGGCGCTGCTTTATCGACAAGCGGACGAAGGAGGACTATCTGGTGGATTTCTTCTCGGTCAAGAGCTGGGAAGAGTACAGATTCTCGCCGTGCATCGCGGCGCCGCTTCCTCCCCTGGGCAGCGAGAATAGGCGGAGTCTGATCGAGACTCTGCCCAACTCTCTTCCCTCATTGCCCAAGATCGGACTCGGGAAGCGGTTTTCCACGATTCTGGGCAGTAAGGACGGCGCGACGGCAGATACTCCAAGGTCATCGCGCGAAGAGGAGGCAGAAGAGAGCGTTCCTCGAGATCACGACAATGGACAAGCCTGTGCGGGGAGAGATCCAGAAAACCCAGTCGTCGAGAATCTTCTCGGACCAAGCACCGCCCCCAACACGTCCTCCTCGACGAACGCCGCCGTAGCAGCAGCCACGAGCACGATCCCCCGGGCAGACGCGATAGCCTACCTGGAGCGTACGCTGGCCGAGGTCCTCCGCTTCAAGAGGGAGCTGGCTTTCAACGAGTCCCACCAGGCGGAGAATCGCTATCCGCCATTTGCAGTGCTGTACTCCAAGTGTCTGCCGACGGTGTACGGCGCGCGAGTGCAGTCGCGCGAGCACATCAAGTGTCGGGACGCGTACGACGATCTGGCCTTTGCCGCCGGCGACGGGGTCTGTCTTGCGTCTGCTGCCATGCTACCCCCGGGATATCGGGTGATCAAGGACGGTCTGGTGAAGACGGATCGTGGACATGTGGGTTTGCTGGGCGATCTCGAGGCGGTGGGCAAGTGTCTTTTGGCGATCGTCAAGGGGAGAAAGGCAGGAGTTGGGCTTGGTCGGCCAGAAAAAGCTGATGCTGATGCTGATGCGAATGCGAGAGGGACTGAGCTGTCTTGACCTTGGCACTATGCGATCGATCTGAGGGAGGTCGTTGAGAGCGAGAGCGTTGATCCAGCTCTCCGTGACAGTGAGAGAGTGAGGAAGAGGAAAGCGGGAGATTCCTGGCATGTGATGTCACCTGATGGCACAGCAACATCATCAATTACTCGCAGCACACCGTGAGACGAATATGTGATGAGAATGAGAACAACAAATGACGATCTAATGACCGACTCTTCATTGCCTCACTGCATTTGACGAACTGCACTCTATCCACCAATACACTTTGATAATATAATATGTGCTATGACAACGCAGCTAGGTAATTATCATTATGACTGTGGTGAATAGAATACAATTGATTAAGAAATAAAGTGTTGTTGGAAAACAGCGTGGAAATACTCTGTTAATATCCGAAGGAGAGACAGACTTTCTTCCTACGGAGTAACCATTACCGTCGACTACATCCTGACACTTCAGCCAGACCATGAAACCGTTTCGATATCAGCCCCTGAGCGTTCAATATCGACATCACGCCGGATCAACCTGAAGCGGATGCACCGTCCTGATCCGCCCCTTGAAGAACTTCTCCGTCTCGCTGGCCTGCACCTGGCGGATCTCCTGGCGATCAGACAACAGCCACGTGGCGGCACTCTTCCTCGCCTTGAGGACCTTGCAGGGCCAGCGAACCGATCTGGACGTCTTTCCAAAGCAATTGCGGTCCTGGATGGACTCGTGAAGCGCTTCGTTGGTGATGCGCCAGTCGCCTTTTCGACCGTTCCCGTAGCGGAGAGGTCGCCGTAATGACGTCCCGCCGAGGAGGGCCTCGAGGAATTGAAAGATGCTCGACGAGCGATTGGGACCCTTGCTGGTGGCCCACGGGGTGGCATCTGCCTCGACGGCCGGAGCAGGCTCGTCGAAGAAGTAGCTCAGGTCGAAGCTGAGCTGGTCGTGCTTGGTGCACTGCGCGATCATCCAGGCGAGGGCGATGTTCGAGAGACGAGGGTCCGCGGCACCACCGCCAACATCGGTGTGGACGCCGGAGAACCAGACCTGGAGCAGTTCCTGCTCGTCGCTCTTCACCGGGAGATGCCACAGCAGGGGCTGGAATGCGGTGCGCTGTTCGTCGAGGGCCAGCGCGTGGAACACATAGCGGATGTCGCTGGACAGGCGCGCATTCCGGCGCTCAAACTCCTCGCCAAAGAGCCAGCGCGTGAGCCAGAAGTCGTGGAAGCCGACCGTGTCCCACACGCCGATGATCTCGACCGTGAACCGCGGCAGGGGGTCGCGGAAGCCCAGACGGCGTCGCGTCTCGGCGTCGTAGCCGTCCAGTTTGTGGGTGTAGTAGTCGTGGTAGACGGTGCTGAAGTTGTCCATGCCGCGGCTGGTCAGGAGGCCCATGTCCGTCACCAGCCCGGCTGTTGCCCGGGCTGTGTATGCGCCGCGCGAGAAGCCGAAGAAGTAGATCTTGTCGCCGTCGTTGTAGTTGTCGGCAAGAAAGGCGTATGCGGAGCGTACGTGGGCGCTGAGACCGAGGCCAGTGGCTCCTGTTGAAATAGAATTGTTAGCAGGAGGGTCGATGTATGTGTTTCACTGTCTCACCTCCCCAGAGTCTATTGCCAAACCCAGTGCCCACTCCTTTTTGATAATACACAATTTGCGGCACCAGCCTTTTCTCGCCGTTCTCCTCAACCACTGCGTTTCGACTGAGGGCTCTACAAATCCGAGTGACATTGGTGGGAGGTTGACTGTCGTCCGACGTGGAATCCTCCCATGTGCCTAGAATAGACGTTCAGATCAAATCACCAACAAAAAAACACTGGGTTAAAACGCATACCGTCGCAGCAAACAATCAGTCGTTTCGATTGGGAGAACTGCATGTCAGGGGCACTTCCCATGTTGGGCTATAGCTGACTAGTCTGGTAGAGAACTAGATCCAACAAATAACATACCTATCTAGGTAGATACTATTGAAGGGAGTCATCTTGAGTCTGTAATTCCAATATATATACCCCATAAAGACAAGAATATCATACAATGCAGCAAATAGAATATGCTGAGGAATAATCACACATTTTCCATTTCCGTGCAATGGAGGGCCTTAAAAAACAACAACAACCCACCAGCTGAAATCCTATAATACGAATCCGCCAGAGCCAATCATGCTGACAATGCTGACAGCTGTTTCAAACGACGAACCTGAGTTCGTATATACCTAGGTACCTACCCATGAAAAGTTTGCGTCATCGACAGGGATTCGTCACGCTAAAGGGTTTGAGCCTCAAGTGGAAGTGGACGCCTTTTTTTTTCAGGCCGGCAGTCTTGGGTCAGGTTTGGTTCAGCCCTACGGGCTCAGATGACTTAGTTCAGATGACTTAGTGGAGTAGGTGTCAGCTCTGAAAACAGGGGAATGGGAAAGAGAAAAGGAAATGCTTGTACAGTACATACGGTGGATAGGATAAGCTGTAGGTATTTCTTTCCGTTCGAATCTTGTATATACTACCACTATGACTTCCGATATGATTTGCACAGTTGATAGTATTTTACCTGAGACAGTAAGACTTTGATCTGTTGATTGCAAAATTTATTCTACTAGCCAATATACATCAGTGGATAAAATACAATATAAGTGTCAGTATTAGCAAGGATTAGGTCTACGTCGAGTGTTAGAGCGCTATATCTGATTCTATAATAAGCAAAGGCGAGAAACCGGCTGAGCCGCGCCCCTTTTCCCCTGTCTTACAAAAGATGGGGTCTAAATCTGTCGTTTTCGTACGTGAAGAGCTGAGAAGAAGGGACTGTTTTCGTTTCCCCAAATTCTGTCCTGTCATGCTGGTTGATATCATGCTGATCAGTTATGCGAATCCGGAAATATGCACATTTATGACAAAACACGAGAATAAATAATATTCCATGCCATGCTAAGCGAGTGAGTGATGTAGACAGTCGTCATGTTTCAACGTCAGGTTCATGACAGAAATGGAAAAAGCTTCCGACTCCTCGTTCAAGACTTCGCTTCAGGCTTTCTCCCATACACGAAATGCGCCTCCTGGTAGAGATGCAGAGTCCGGTCCCTGATCTCGTTGCGCACCGCCACACAGAGAACCTCGGCCTCCTCCCTGGTGTAGCCCAGAATCCGCGTGAAAAGGGCTGGGGTATACGAGCCTATCGCGTCTATCACCTGCGCCTGGTGATATTTTCCGATCTCCTTGAGCTTCTTGTCTTTGGCCCAGGGGCCGATTGGGAACTGGACAAAGGCGGGATTAGTACATCACATTTTAATCAAATCCCGGGCAAGATAAAAGTTACTGCCAGACAAACCTTAATAACCTCGCGATGAACATCCTCAAACCCAGCCTTGATCAGCTCGTCCTTCCACGTCTCTACCACGGTCATGCTCTTGCCAAACTGCTCGCTGGCCTTGTGCATCTCCGCCACCCAGTGCCGGAGATTCTTGGCCTTTTCGAGACTGTCGTCATCGGAGAAAACCGTCGGGTTGACCGTCTGGATCTCGAAATACCCGCCCGGCTTCAGGTGCTTGAACGCGCGGCTGAACAGGCGGCCGTAGTCCGCGACGAACCCGGCCAGCTCGCGGCCGTGGATAAAGTCGAAGGGACGCGTGTAGACCCATTCGGTTTCGTAGTCGTCGATTTCGAATGTGCAGTTTGGGGGGACCCTAGAATTGATCAGTTTGATTTAGCATGTTCGAGATGATGCATGGAAGAGATTACTTACCATTGTGGTTGTATCGGACTCAGATCCGTGCCTGTTCTCATTAGATAGACGCTCATGTCACGCTCAGGAAGTCACTGCCGTACCGATAATCTGCGCAGAAGGATATTCGCTGAATTTCATCTATTTTAGCAAGCATGCAACCAAATGCTCACTACATAGGGAGCTCACTCTGCAAAATCAATAGCCCAGATTCCAGTGCCCGTCCCAAGATCGAGAACGCGCTGCGGATTCGTTATCGGGCTCAGATGGAGCTTGCCTCCAAGCAGGAGCAGATAGATATGATGCACCAGGTCCATTCGCTCTTGCTCTTGTTCATCGTTTGGCTGGTGTCGACTCGGTTAGTAGCCCTAATTTTCTCGCTGGATACAGCCCACGTACCAGGGTATATGCTCCCTCGCGAAACGCATGGTAGCGGCGTCCATTCTGGCTATCTTATTATCTCCTCGCTGGCTGATCGATGGTCAGTCATCTCTTACCTCGTACCTGGTAGATATGCTTCGTTAGTTACAGTTCTGACGCACGAGGTGGGAATGCGTTACTTGTAGTTTCTGATGCTCGAGCTGATGGACGTCATGTAACTAGCTGTCCCGATGCTTCATATGATCAGACATGTCTGTCGACTGGCAGTCATGAAGACCGAATGCTCACGATTCACTGTACGCAGAATCCTTATCGGAGGAAGGATTCTCCTGCACATTCGCGGGTTAGCGTGTGCATATACACGAATCCCTGTAGGGTACGAGACGCACGTCAACTTCGAGGCCTGAACGAGACGACGGATTCTCCGGCATGGCTGCAGAATTAACTTCAGAAATGAACTGAACCGTGGTCGATGACGACGAAAAACACTGGCTAAAGCTAGCTTTTAAAAGACCAACAACTCACTGTCAGCTTCCAATTTTTCTCCCCCACCTGTCGCCATGTGACGCAGCGGATAAATACTTCCTGCCCAGAACTGCTCTTTACCACACCGAGGAGTGACCAAAAGCAGCATTCTGCAGCCAGCCTGCATCTAGCCCTGTCGCCAGCACGCCTGTCGATTACTATTGGAGGGCTGCGAGACCGTTGCGTTCGGGCCGAATCGGGTGGAGTGCAGATCAGCAGCCAGAGATATAATTATCTGGAATAGTGCAAAACGTCACCTGTCAGCTACCAAGTTGGGTATAAGATAGACACTAGCACCTACACTCTGCCTGCAATGATACGTGGATCCAGACATTGATTGGGAATAGTATCCAGTATCCTACATCAATATGCATCTGGTCAACTACAACGGTCGGCATGAAGCCAGCCCACCCGGTCTGTAGAGATTACGCTCGTCTAGGTATTTATTCAGCTGATCGTCTTCAGAGATCATCAATGTTTACGACAGGATGGCAGAATGACTGCTGCGCACGGTATGAGTACATACATCAGATTATCTGTGCTTCGTCCTGCAGTTCACTGTAGATCTGTCGCTTAAGGATTTATCCTCCATATGGAGTGCTAAATGAAAGGGATCCACAGAAGATTGATAATGATAATATGGAGTTTGGCCTAAAAAAAAGTCTTCTACTCTCCTTCAATCTTATTCTTCACACTCACTGACCATATGAGCGTCTGTACACTCTGATAATTCGCTTTCCTCTATGGAGCTTGCAATGTAATAAAGAGGTCTGCAAATTTATTGCTTCTATGTTATTCTACAAAAACAAAAATAAGTGACAACAGTCTTTCCAAACTTGAGGCAACTTATGAGCTAGAGATCCAGAACATTGGACAGGGGCAACTTGGACTAATCAAGTTTTTAAGCAGAGTAGCACCCTGGAGAAATCCAGAGGGAGTTAATGTCTACATTTAGGGTATAGATTTTTATTTCAAATTTAGGAAAGAATATAAATTTACTACCTAGATATTAGTTCAGAGACACAGCTATATAGATATATTTTACTAAATCAAGTCTCTAGTAAGTAAAACCTTAAAAAGGACAGGGAGAGGTCTCATATCTGTCAAAAGGCATACCTATATTTACACAGCATAGTAACATTTTCAACCGTTTTTAGCGCATTTATTTGCATTACATTCAAAGTCTCATATTGTGTCGCCGATCTAAGTACTTGGCAAATTCATACTCGATTGAATGGCCCTTCCAGCTGTGGTCTGTCACGTGTGCAGCGTCCACCGTCCTTGCCTTACAGGAAGTAAGGCACGTCCGTAGGTAGCTTAGAAGGAATGTTGCTCCTTTTTGCACTTAGCATGATCTTTATGCCTGACTTGGCCAGGCACTTGATGACTTGATTCCAGCAAAACCTTCTCTACGAAATTCAAAGTTCATCATCACATCCTTCCCAGCACGAGATGTTGATTGTTTTCGGCATGACTCAATGGAATATTAAAGCCACGCCATTCGACTTGTTCTCGTCAGTCTGATACTCTTGCTCACCATGGTCCAACTCCAAAGATAATCAAACACTCACGTATACCAGATTGAAATTGGCCATGGGCCTGCAGACGTCAGCAAGCGGTTTAACCTATGTCACGTAGCAGGGAGCATACAGGTCATGTCCATTGTGCCCTTGGTAGTTTTCATCCTCATGATCTTCACCAAGCTGGCGGCAGTCCTGCTGCGGACTCATCAGCAGACATCATAACATGACAGGACGCTCAACAACAACACACCACCGCTCGTCCAGACCGCCAGACCCTATTTGGTCCCAGTCTTCATGTTGAGCATCCACACCATGAAGACAGGGAAGATGGCACACTGCGAATCCATCGCTGCCCTGCAGACTGATCTCGTCAGTTTCGAGGATATGGTTCTGCCTAGTAATGTTCTTACCAGTCACACGACATCCAATATTAACATGACTGGCAACATGCAGGTACCAGGAATTTCCAGGTTCCAGCTTGTTACACTAGCCCGGCAGGGTGACCATTGGAAAGATGTTGTTGCCAACCACAATAACTGTGACCGTCCAGAGGATGATCTTGCATTTTCTCTATAGCCATGCCGAAAAGATGCAGCAGAGACAGGACAATAAAGATCTTGGCTGGGACAAACATAAACAGTAAGATGGTGGGCAGAAAAAGAGTGTACTTGATGGCCTCACTCCATATGACAGGATCCTTCATGGATGCAACCTGCATTGTGAAGCCACATGTGCTGGCAGTGACCAAGTCGTGGTAATGGCTGAGGCCTGTTTATATCAGTCAACATCAGACTCCTGTCACGCTGTTTTGTGAGTAGTCCTCTGTATTCGGTTTCATACAAGCCCCTAACATGAACATGAGCTTATGCAAATCATGTCTTCAGAGGATATGCAAGATTAGACCATGACAAGAATGTCCTCCGCAAGTGTGAGGTTTCCACGATATATGGTGGCATCCTGGTGCATACCTGCGGAGTACATGTCCGTATGGAGTAGGGACTGCTCTATGCCATGGATGACATGAATTATATTTCTGGCGACCAGGATTACGCCTTGTTGCCCTGCCTGCCCTTCCATATATTACAACAGCAAGGAGTGGCTGGCAGCAGCGGTCGGATGCCCTAAGACGTCGCTTGGTAGCTGTCACCCCGGCGTTCTAACGTCCTAGGGCCTGCTAGCTGCATGCCAATCGATGCTAATTCAATGCTAATTGTGACCAGATTTCTCTGACGGACCAACAGTTGCGAATAGAAGTGCTTCGATCGTTGTTACTCCGAGACAGGTTGTGGACTGCCTCCCGTCTAGGATCGGCATTTCTCAAATTTCAATCCCCGCAACGGGCCAGACCGGATGAATCTCTTCCCGCTTTTAAACGACAAGCCACGACTCTCTTGTGGGTTGTTCTGAGGCGCTGCTCGCGAGTCATGCATTTCAAAGACGTCGATCGGCCATAATAAGGACCATCCTCCAGAGCACGCTGGCAATCCCTACGCAATCATTCGACACAGTCACTGCATGACACTGTACAGTCTGCATACTGGGAACTTTAATACCTGCCTTTTGACAGGTCATATATTGTTTATCCCGTGGTTGCAGCTGGTTGCTGCATTATAAAGACTGTTACCCCGCCCATCATGCACCCACCGCAACAGAGACCTCAGATTTCATCATGGACGGCGTCAAGATCGTTGGTTTCTTAATCGCCTTAATCGTTCTCAGGCTGCTCTACGAGTACAGACGGGATCGCTCTCTGCCTCCTGGTCCCCCTCGTCTCCCTTTCATCGGCAACCTCCACCAGGCACCGACTGACCTGCCATGGCGAACATTCCACGAGTGGACCAAGGAGTAATCATCAGTGCCCAGTTCGGCGGCACCACGATAATTATGATTGCCAATGCCGCCATTGCTCGCGAGCTGCTTGACAAGCGCGGAAACATCTACAGCGACCGCCCGCGCATGGTCATGGCGGGCGAGAACCTGACCAAGGGCATGCATCTGCTGCTGAGGCGCTACAACGATCAATACCGGCTCCACCAGCGCATGCATGCGTCGCCATTTAGCCCCCGGGCGTCAAACACGTACTATCCTCTGCAGGACCTGGAGAGCAAGCAGCTGCTGTACGATTTTCTCAAGACAAACGACTTTCAGAAGCTGTTCGACTGCTACAGCGCCAGTCTGGTGTATTCGCTGGCTTACGGGTACCGTCTGCATACGGGTGACGAAGACGAGCTGAAGGACGCTCACCTCGTGGAAGAAAACTGGGCCTATGTCGGACGCGTCGGGACATGGATCGTGGACGCCCTCCCTTTCCTCAACGTTCTCCCTGCCCCTCTGGCGCCATGGAAGCGGACGACGAAGAAGTTTTTCAAGATCGAAGCGTCTCTCCATACACGGAATATAGAGAGAGGGCTGTTCAGCAAGGCGTGGAACTGGAGCAAGGAGTTCTCTGCCTCAAGGAAGCCGAGCAAATGACGGAGCTGGAGTTGGCGTACAGCGTCGGCGTTCTCGCTGATGCCGGGCTGGACACGACGTCAGTGCAGATGCGAGTCTTCACCCTGGCCGCGCTCGCCTATCCGGACTTTGTCAGAAAGGCCCAGAAAGAACTGGACGAAGTCGTTGGACCGGACCGTCTGCCGACGCTGGACGACAAGAAGAATCTGCCATACATCGTAGCCATCGTCGAAGAACAGTTCCGCTGGCGCTCCATCGTTCTGGGAGGTATCCCGCACGCGACGATGCAGGAAGACACGTACATGGGGTATCGAATCCCCAAGGGCGCCACCGTAGTGGGACTGCACTGGGCGATGAGCCTGGATGAGAAGGTATTTGACCGGCCGATGGAGTTCCTGCCTGAGCGCTGGCTGGAGGAGAAGAAGCCCGAGAACACAGACCAGCAGGAGCAGTGCTTCGTCAACTTCTTCGGCTACGGCCGACGGATCTGCACGGGGCGACACATTGCGCGGAACTCGATTTTCCTGCTGATCGCGCGCCTGCTCTGGGGATACAACATCAAGCATGCGGTCGACAGGGACGGGAAGCGCATCGAGGTGGACGACATGGCTTTCACTTCCGGGTTCGCCTCCTCGCCGCTGCCGTTCGAGGCGGTGTTTGAACCGAGAAGCGAGCATGCGAAGGCGGTCATCGAGAGGGAGTGGGAGACGGCCGAGAAGGATGTCGATGTGCTGTTGAATTCGATTCGCGAGAATCAGGTTTCGATGGGGATGAATGTGCGTGCGTAAGCTTTCCTGTGTAATTTTCTGGATGCTCTGCAGCGCATCAAGGACTTTATTCTAGGGACTGGACTAGCAAGGGTTGAGTCTGTCGCTGCGAACTTCCTGAGCTTTATTAGCTACCAAGGCTACTAGGAATGTAATACTGTTGCAATCGTGAATGACAGCTATCTACTGGCTTTGCATTCATCTATTGAAACGAGCAGAGTAGTTTAGTTAGCTAATGTGCCTGTTGCAATTCAATGCAATCCAAGCGAGGCCTTTATCTTTAATTGGGAGTACAACAAACGAAAGAAGGACAAGAAAAGAAAAGAAGAGAACAAGAAAAAATATCGAAAGAAATCTAAATATAAATATAAACCTCAAGAAAATAGCTCTCTTCTCTCAAGCTGTCCAAAAAAAAGAAAGAAACAGAAATTTGCTATATATATTAAATAGTAAATGGCAATAGGGCACAGCAGACCATGAGAGTAAGCACATGTATACAAATAAGTCAAGGAGAACTAACAACGGAATTTCCTTTGTGGGTGGCATCAAAATTACCGTTTTCGGCAGGATTATACGGTACGGCGATTGACAACATTCTGTCTAGGTAAGTATGCACTGTACATTAGTTGCTGTGCAGAGTAATACCTATATAAACTACCCACCTACCTACCTACGTAGGAGCTTACGAAGGTCGGTGAGTATTCACTGGATTAATTCACAGAATTCATCATTTGCAGTGCTGTTCTCCGCTTTTTCATGGTAGAGGTACAAGATAAACAGACCAGATATTGCCTACTTGGGGAAAACGGACGGTTTCGCGAAATAGGAAATTTCTCGCCGAAGCATCGATCGAGATTTCAAATATGTGACTGATACTATCGACTGATAATCGGCTCAAATCATAGTTACAGAAAGAAATTATTATGTATGCTACAGTGATGTCTTGCAAGGTGAATCAAATCAATCATCTGCAAATAAATGTGACGCTCTGCCTGATCACTATCTCCACCCCCATGCCCGCTGCAACGTGGCCACAAACTCCCCCGTCGGAAACGCATGATCGCGCTCCATAATATCCAACACCTGCAGCAGCGCCTCCTGCTCCTTCCGATCGTCAAAGTACTCTCCACACATGGCAATCCCCATCAACGCCTCGATGAACACCGACGGTAAGCGGCGATTGCTGAGCGCGATCCCGCACAGTCGGAGCACGATCCCCTTCAGCCGCCCTGTCAACTCGCGCATGCTGGCAGCGTATCCGGGCCCAGTTTGGGCCTGCTCGGGTCGTAGACTGCGAGCAGGATGCGGGCCAGCTCTGCGTGCGTCGTTCCCGTCACATGGCAGTCGTCTAGGTACCAGATCTCGGGGAAGATCTCGCCTGCTTGCCGGTTAGGCGCCCGGTAATACACCGGTTCGAACGAGCTCGGCAGGACGAGACCCAGCTCAGCCTCGTACTGCTTCAGCGCATGCCATCGCTCTTTATTATCAGCGTGGCGCTGAGGCGTAGTCGTATCGCTGGGGCCTCCGTAGCAGTACTGCAGTACGTCCGCACAGAAAATGACCAGACGATCTGCCCAGACGGCATCCTCGGCTGGAGAAAAGTTGCGGAACGCTTCGCAGCGGGAGAGAGGGAAGTTCGGCGGACGCTGCTTCATGAACGACGTAAACACTTCCTGCCGGAGGGCGACCCAGAAACACGCCTGACGGAGACTGTCGGTTCGGGGTAAGGGGGTGGAGGAGACAGAGACAGGTCGAGGCTGGGACATAGGACTCATCTCCCTCGGGTAGATCGCACCTGAGCGGTGTGGCACCGCCGCAGCCGACGGGACTTGCGCATTGAGAAAGATGCTCAGCATCTGCAGAAAGACTTCTTTGTCGCCGTCGCTGTCGTCCCGCAGCGGGGCGTCCATCTCCTCGTCCGTCCGGAGAATAATGGCTGCCGCCAGCAGGTTCTCGTTGTGGATCTGCGCCGGATCCATGCTCAGCCGCAGGAGATCCTTGATGCATTCGTTGTGATAGTACACGGCGGACTCTTCCGTCAGGTCAGGAAGCACATACCCCTGCCACTCCACGATGTCATCCGCGTTTCGATGCCGTGGGAGCCGCGTGAGGTGGCGGGCCGATGTCGTTAGTATCGCATTCAACAGAGGCGGCGAGGAGCGTGCTCGCTGGGGAACGACGTGGGTAAAGTGGCGTTCAGGGTTGCACAGGTCGAAGCGGCGGGCGATTTCTTCTGAGAAATATCGCATCAGGATTGCTTGGCGGCGGCTTTGACTGCGGCAAATCTCCGCCGAAGGCTGCTTGACGAGATGGCAGAAGAAGGGGTCATCTGAGAGGTCTATTGTTGGATGCTGTGGGAGGTTGGTGTATGCAGGCTCTGCAGTATTAGGCACGGGAACAGTGTTATAGACTGACGACTGAATGGAAGATGAGGTTTGTAGCGTAGACGATAAGGCAACAGGAGTTTGTTTATCGTCGAAAACACCTCTCTGAGATGGCTCATCGCGGGGAGAGGTGTCAGAAGATTGCGAGCCTTGGGAGGTGCCTGTAGTGCGAGATGTAGATTCGCAGATCGCCGACAACTGGCTCTCATTTTGTCCTGCGCAGACCTCTGAATCCGTATCTAGATCACATTCCTGGTGGTAGCCAGCAATGACATCCAGCGTCTCATCAATGAACCTCAGCCTGTCTACATACGCGTGGTTAATTAACTTGTTGCCGTCAGTTGAGTATGCTTGCTTACGAGGCTTCCGGGTCTTCAGCCAGTGCTGATCCTTTGCAAAGGTCAAACCGTATCTGGCATGGGAGCCATGGCGGAATCGAATTTTAGTGTTATTCCTGCCTCGGACGCACTGCTGGTTGCTTCGTCTGCAGCGTTGGCACTGTTCCAAATCGTAGTCACCTGTTCCAGTTATTGTGTGGTTGATGCTGACTGTTTGTTTGGATGATGCTTACACTTCAAATGCTTGTCTGTACGGATGGTCAGTTTACTACTAGCCAGAGGGACCCAGATACATGTACTTATCTGCAGTTGTTGCAGGGCACGATATCTGATCGACTTTGCTCAGGCGAGGATTTCCGGACTGAAGCTGTCATGCTGTCCGCTTCTCTTCATGGCAGGCGGATACCAGCAGCCAAACAGGCAAGAAATCGGCGACGAATTGCCTCCCATTGCACCAGCTGACGTCAATGCCAAACAGCAAATGCCCCGACTTTCCCCCGCGGCCGGAAAAGGCAGGCGGCGGGCGAGTTTCTCCGCACTGCCGTTCCGCTCCGCCCCCGCAAAATCTCCGCGTCGCCCGCCGCCGGCCAATCAGAATTCCCGCGATTGCATCGGCAGGGACCGTGCATCAGATGCAGCCGCAGTGATTGGCTGAGAGGGAACGCTCTGGGGAAGATCTCGCACGAGTGCTGCATGCAAGCCAATGGTTCGGCATATCCCGATCACAGATGGATGATCTGGATAACCTTGGAAAATCGACGAAACGCAATTCGGCGTCTGTTGAGCGGGAACGGCATCGTAGCTCGGTGTATAATACGTCGCTGCCACCCTCCAGCTGTACCCAGATGACGACGGCTGAACGTCTTAGCTAGCCTGTGCATCATTGTTTACTCGGTCATATATATACATTGTTACGGGCCAATTGAATGGCGCAATGGAGGAGAAAACGGCGACCAGTGGACATGTCGAGGCAGTGTCTCGCAATGTGAGAGCTGCCTCCGCGGACGCCCCCGTGTGGGAGCAGCAGCGAGCCACGTATGGCAAGCCAGGTGAGTAGACAGTGATCATGGAGTAAGAGAGTAGGACTGACGACCACAGGTTTTGCGGGCATTTTCTCCAACCCCTATGTCACCGCCTGCGCGGCCTTTGCCACCATGGGCGGTGCCCTGTTCGGCTACGACCAAGGCGTCATTTCAGTGACGCTCGTCATGGAGCACTTCATGGAGCGGTTCCCTGAGGTTGCGGAGGGGGCTGCTGGCGCCGGATTCAAGAAAGGCCTGCTCACCGCGATGATCGAGCTGGGTGCTTTCCTAGGCGCCATGAATCAGGGATGGATTGCGGACAAATTCTCTCGTAAATGGTCCATCTTGGTCGCTGTGTGTATCTTCCTTATCGGCTCGGCATTGCAGACGGGCTCAGTGAACTATGCAATGCTCGTCGTTGCCCGGTTCGTCGGTGGCATTGGTGTTGGTATGCTGGCTATGGTGGCGCCTCTTTACATCTCAGAGCTAGCTCCGCCTGAGATTCGAGGCACTTTGCTCGTGCTGCAGGAATTGTCTATCGTGACAGCTGTTGTCGTCGCCTTTTACATCACGTACGGCACAAGATATATCGATTCGGACTGGTCCTGGCGTCTTCCGTTCTTGCTTCAGGTGGGTGATTCCTCTCAAAAAGAAATAAGGGGAAAAATAAGGAAAGGGAAGAGATTGGACTTATTACTATCTCTTGCAGATGGTGCCTGCCATCTTCCTGGGAGTAGGAATTCCATGGCTCCCCTACTCTCCGCGTTGGCTCGCCAGCAAGGGCCGTGACGACGAAGCTCTCCAGGTTCTGAGCAAAGTCCGCAAGCTGCCCGAGTCTGACGAACGCGTGATTCAAGAGTGGATCGAGATCCGCTCCGAAGTGGCCTTCCGCAACGAGCTAAACAAAGAGCGCCATCCCACTCTTTTTCAAGACTCGAGCCTGTCGAGTCGCATCAAACGGCATCTGGTGGGATACACGGACTGTTTCCGGCCGGGGTGCTGGAAACGTACCCATATTGGCATTGGGTTGATGTTCTTCCAGCGTAAGGCGATCTTTTCTTCATTCCCACGACTTTAACCCAGGCTAACTCGGTTGACTCAGAATTTGGCGGGATCAACGCGCTGATCTACTACTCGCCCACTCTTTTCGGCACCATGGGTCTCGACTACGATATGCAGCTGACCATGTCTGGCGTGCTCAACATCTGCCAGGTCATCGCGTGTTTCTGGTCCTTATGGGGCATGGACCGCTTTGGCCGGCGACCGCTGCTTCTCGGCGGTGCAGTCTGCATGGTGATCTCGCATCTGATCATCTCCGTGCTGGTGGGCAAGTTCAGCGACGCCTGGCCAACCCACACGGCCGAGGCATGGACCTCAGTCGCCTTTTTGCTGTTTTTCATGCTGACCTATGGCGCCACCTGGGGGTCCGATCCCCTGGGCGATGCCCGCGGAGATCTTCCCTGCTTCGCTGCGTGCCAAAGGCATGGCCTTTGCAACCATGTCCAATTGGTTCAACAACTTCATCATCGGGCTGATCACTCCGCCCTTGGTGCAGAATACCGGGTTTGGCGCCTATGTCTTCTTTGCCGTGTTTTGCCTGCTGGCGCTTGTCTGGGTCTGGTTTGTCGTTCCTGAGACAAATGGTCGCACTCTTGAGCAGATGGATCACGTCTTCCACGACAATACGGGCGAGATAGAGCAGGCGCGGCGTGCACGGATTGAGGCGGAGATGTTGGGGCTGTCAGCGTGATATTTTACCTATATATAGCTTTATGTAGACTATTGCGAAAGGATTGAATATCACATGAAAAGGCCAGACACGTCTGTACATGTATTTCTCTTCCTTCCAATTCCGTAAAATGCAGGCTACATTTCTGAACCCGATTTATGACCATATCATTATTTCTCAACCAGGACATTTTTGTTGTTGTTTCCATAACAAACTTCGTACAACTACTACGGCATAATGAGTGCAAGGAATAGATGAGCCTGGAAAATCATACAAATCGCTTGTAAAAGCTACCTAGTCGTTGAGCACTCTATAAGCACTAGGCATTCCTGTATCCGTCTATCGTCAATTTGTAGTAATATTCGAGATCGTAGATAATGTAGGCTTCCACCTACTCCAAAAGAGGGACAGAGCATCACAGCAACTCCTTCAATACAACTTTCCCCTCATCGTCGCGGACGACAGTAAAGCTCCTCCACCCAGCCGCAGGAATCTTCATCTGCTTATCCCCCGTCAAATAGGTAATAAGCCCGCCGTGCGAGACAATAACAATGTCCCGCCGTTGCGAGCTTCCAAAAAATCAACTGATTGCTGACTTGCGCCGTCTGGTCCCGGACCTCTTTGATACCTCTGGAGACACCTCCCTCGATCTGGGGAGCGAGCCTATGCGTGGCAAAATCTACTCCAGCTGGCGGCTTTGGAAGAGACACGCAGAAAAGAGTGAGGCACAGACTAGTCTTCGCATCACCACCTGGTAGCTGACTTGAGCGGTAGCATCTCCCAATACCTTCCACAAAACACTCCTGCGAACCCTCGGGGAACAGCAGCATCGGCAGTTGAAGGAAGCCACTTCCTCGGGAGATGACCAACCCGTTCCACCATTGCAGCACCATGAATTCACCGAGGCTTGTCGCCAGCTGAAAGAATCGATCGAGGGGGAACGCGTGTCCGCTTCATTTGCCTGCGGTGGTACTATTCCCATCAGAAGCACTTCCATGGCAGTAGATGAGTCCTCCACACGTCGCACCTCGCTGCCGGTTCATATCTTCTGGACGAAGGAAAAGAACTCCAATAACGCGCGGAGATTGGTGCTCCCACTCAGCGACACTGACGAGTCAAACAAAAGCATACTCCGACAGCTTGTCATGGACTGCTCTCCTGCTAGCTTTGGAAGGGGAGACCAGGATGTGCTGGACCCGAGCTATCGAAAGGCCGGCAAGCTGGATCTGGACAATTCGCTAGCAGTTTCAACCCAGCCGACTTTGGCATTCTGGAGAACATCGAGCAGATTCTCCTGCCAAACGTCAGTACCGATCTCGTAAATAGTCTTCAGTTCAGGATGGTGACTGCAGATCTCTACAAGCTGAACGTACGGCCAACCGCAGCAACATGTTTGTGTATCTGGGTTGACGAGGCATGTGAAATATAGGCTTACTCCGGGCCTTCTGGCCATTTCCGTAAACATGTCGATACACCTCGTTCCCCAAGCCAGATCGGCTCGCTTGTCGTCTGCTTGCCGTCGCCGTTCAAAGGAGGCAATCTGATTGTCCGCCATCACGGCCAGGAAGTCGACTTCGACTGGAGCCTGGCAAGTGCCTCGACCATCCAGTGGGCGGCATTCTACAGCGACTGCGAGCATGAAATCAAGACAATCACCGAGGAGGACCGCATCACTCTCACGTATAATCTGTACGTCACGGAGCCAGTGGGAAGTGCCATCTCACGCAGCCCGATCGTTGAGCCCCAAACCCTTCCGTTGTACGGATATATCCGCGATATGACCAAACAGCGTTGGTTCATGGAAGATGGTATCGGATTCCCCCTTGACCTTCCGTGATGGATCATGCTGACAGCTGGCAGGTGGCGTTCTCGGGATTTTCTGTTCTCATGCCTACGCCCATAACTCGGACGTGGCGACCGAGAGTCTCCCAAGGGCGCTGAAAGGCTTCGATCTGGTTCTCTACTCCATATTCAAGTCTCTTGGTTATGAAGTGGATATCTTGCCAGTCATAGAGCCTGGGGGCGATTATGACACCACCAATCCACAGCTGGGACTCGAGGGATCTGTTCTTGGGAAACGGAAATGGGATTATATCTCGACAGACCGCTACGATGAATCGCCGCCATACCTGGAACATGGACAGACATTGGAGCAGGATTACGAGAGAGTGTTAGATGGCGACTTTAGAGAGTGCGACGATGTAGAGAAGCGCTGGAAAACGCTGCTCTATGCACGACACGTGAAGGGGAAGACGGACATGGCTCAGACTGCTCAAGAGAAGGGGCTCACCGAAATCGTCGACAGCTACAGCCGAATGGCAAGGGTTGGTAAATGGCTCAAGCCCTACTCTACCACGGACCGGGGGGAAGATGAGGACATCGACGAGGTAAGCAGTTTGGATTGACTCTCTGCTGGGGTGCCTCCACTGACCGGCATCTCTTTACAGGTGGCAAGACAAGTTTGGCCATTTTCCTACCTTCCCGGTATTACCTGGCTTACCGGACCGAAGCACGAGGAGATGGCGTTCAGTCAGATCGTTTATGGGAATGAAGCGGGAATTGGAACGCGTTACTCCTGTGACGCCATCTTTGTCATTATTCCGCCCTGGGAGAAGAGAGCGCAGCTGAGTTGGAAGGACAGAGCTGCCAGTCAAGGTTGAGGCCCTAGTCAGGCTTAATTTCAAATATACAGGGCGCGACTTCAACTGAAGAACCGGAGAGAACTATAGGATCAGGTAGACGTTGGATACTCTGAGAGTCCACCACAATGATATATTCTTGGATATCGCTCTGTTAGCTAATAGTAGACAAAAGGGTCAATGTCAATTTATTCTTGCTTTAGCTTGTTGGAGTTTTTCGAGTCTTGAATCGGACATAAAACTCGCTCTGCTTGACGAACCATGCATTACGCAGCTTCCATTCCCTCTCTGGATAGGCCAGAGATATCTTGGAAGTGACGTTAGTGAAAACAGTCATCAGAGAAGGTGACTTTGGGTCTACGCACCTCGAAGCTTTTCAACACCGCCGGCACCAACTTGTGCATTTCCAGCAGACTGATGTTCTTGCCGCTGCAGGTGCGAGCCCCTGCCCCGAAAGCAAAAAGATAGCTGTTCATCTCGCTCTTCTTTGCCTCGGATGCTTCTATCCACCTTTCTGGGCGGAAAACATCCGGGTCTGGGCCGAAGATATTCTTGTCCCGGTGGACGGTCCATGCAGAGCAGCCGACGTTGGTGCCTCCAGGGAGGAACGTCCCTGCAACCGTCACGCCTGAAGGGGGAACGATCCTCTCGAGGACGAGCCCGACAGCCGGATGGCAGCGGAGAGCCTCCTTGATGACGGCGCTCAGATACGGAAGATCACGGACGTCGTTCCACTGCACGAGGGGGTCGTCAGGCCGGAAGACGCCTTTCTCCTCCATCTGGCGGAACTCGTCCAGCAGCTTCTGCATCGTGGACGGGTTCCGGAGGAGGAAGTAGAAGATTGCGCGCAGCGAGATGGCGGTCGTGTCGGAGCCGGCGAAGACGTTGGACACGGCGAGCGACAGGACGCGCTCGGGCGTGATGAACTCGGGGTCTTTGTGGTGGCACTCGATGAATCGCGAGAGGAAGTCTCGTCTGGATGCCTTGCTTTCGTCGCGTTTCTCTTTCATGGCCTCTGCGCGGTCGGCCATGCGTTCGCGTGTGAAGATGACTACGGGGGAGGTCGTGTTTATCAGGCCGATTTTGGCCAGCCAGAGGCGGATGGGATTCTTGAGGAAGATCCGGTCGAGGAGAGGGATTTGGCCTGCCTGCTGTATGTTAGACGAGCGGAGCGAGTTGTTGAAGGCTTGTAATTCCAGTATGATAGGAAACTAAGTGACTAATAACTCACCACAGCGAAATACCCCAGCGCCCACTCGACATTGGCAATGATCGAATCGACATCCACCCCCCGGTCCACAAACCCCAGGCGTTTGGAAAAGGTCAGCTCGCCAATGACATCGAAGGCGTAGTACTGCAGCCAGGTGCCAAAGTCGCAGATGCCGGATTCATCGTCGTCGTCTCGATCGGCGAATCTCTGCTTCAACTGGTGCAAAAACGCCCTCGTCGTGGAGTTGACCAAGGGCTCAAACTGTACGAGAGTGGACATGGCGTACGCATTCGCGACGGCTCGACGCAGCCTGGCATGGTATTTCTCGTCCGTGGTGTTGAACAGACTCTCCAAAGGCCGTCCCTTGGCAATACTCTGCTGAACGGGGTAGAAGCCGGACTTGACGAAGCCCGAATTCAGCGCGTAGATGGTCTTGATGGCCTCCGGGTCAGAGATAGATACGGTTTTGGGTCCCAGGCGAACGATAGGCCCGTATTTCTCGTGCAGGGCAATGTGCACCCGCTCTGCTCGTCGGCCCCAGACGATCCAGAGACGCCACAGATCGGTGTACGCGGCGAGGCGTGGCCCGGGCAGGTGGTTGATGCCATGGCCGTATTTGTTGTGTAGGAGGCGGACGACGAGGGCGAGGGCGCAGAGCCCGAAGAAGAGGTATGGGGAGAGGAGAATTAAGGGAGAGAGGAGATGGGTGATCATGACAAGTCTTCCTCGTATATATATAGGCAGGTCATCTACCTAGAATGTCCGATAACAAAGCTTACCTACATGTAGTCAGAACATGTAATTTCGATCTCTTCGTCCGATTGCTACTCTCGAGCTCTCATCCCAGCAGTCGGAAATATCCGAATGTGTATGGAGAATATTGACCGCCTATTAATGTCTCCCCCGCAAATACCGTAATTAGTACACGTTGGCGGTGTAATGAAGCGGGGGAAGCTAATAGCTGAGTTTGCCGGCGGGATTATCGTTGCCATTTCGGCGTGATTTCCGATGATCATCGTGGAGTATATCCGTGACTTGAGCTCCTCAGTACTCCGTATGTGTATATACATACAATCAAGAGGATACTTTACTTTCCAGGAAGGAAAAGGTACAGAAAAAAAAAGAAAAGAAGAGAAACTGACAACTAGGTAAAGCATATTGATAATCTTGTTGGTATTGTGTTGCTGCATAGAATTCTAGAAGAAAATATTCTGTCAGCCCCGCGCGGAAAAGATGACAGGCCGCTCACTATATATAGCTACAGCTACGATAGTATGTAATACTCAAGTGTGGAAAAGTCAACTTATTAGTATTGTTTGTGCTTTTTGTTTTATTATCTTACAGTTTCTTGGCTTTGGTGTGTTCCATTAGTGGAGTGAGCCTAGCTAGGCTCAGAACTACATCTGCCAGAAGAGCTAACTCCAGAAAGCGAATGCTATGGAATGTGAATGCTATGGCATCTTCTTGCTGTGTCACACATTTATAGCTATATAACTAGGTATACTGCGGATATCTCAAATCATGCTTGTCATCTAGCACCATAACTCGTAATACCCTCCTCCAAAGCTTTAATCTGCAGCGCCAGAATCCTTGAATAATACCGACACAGCGCCAGATTCCCACCCATAAACCAGAAGCCCGGATGGCCGCTCCGTCTCCAGATCGTCCGCATTTCCCCCTCCTCATCAAAGCCCCAGATACTGCCGACTCGATCGGCAACTTCATCGCCCAGGATCTCTCGCGCCTGCGTCCTCATATTCTGGTATCCCGTCGCGAAGACAATCTCGTCGGCCTCCAGCTGGGATCCGTCGGCGAACTCCAGGCCATGAGGCAGCACTTGCGTGATCTCCTGGCCCTGCTTGATCTTGATCTTGCCGTCGATGATCAGCTGGCTGGCCCCGACATCAATGTAGTAGCCGCCTCCCCGCTGGAAGTACTTGAAGAAGAGACCAGCGTCATTCGGCCCCATGTCCAGCTTGAATCCGGCCTTCTCCAGCCCTTCCAGCGTCTTCTTGTCGCGCTGGTTCTGCAACGCGGTCACCTTGATCTGCTGCGCTTTCAGAATCTCCGACGGGATGCTCCACAGCAGGAGATCGGCGTCGTCGACTGGCGGGCCGTCCTCGTCGTAGAGACCCTTGAGGCCGATCTCCGTGATGGACTCGGACGAGATGACGCAGGTCGAACTGCGCTGCACCATCGTCACGTTGTACCCTTTCTCGTAAAAGTCCTGCGCGATGTCATGGCCCGAGTTGCACGAGCCGACGACGACGGCCTTTTTGCCTTTGGCGTCCGCTCTGGCGCCGGGGAATTCGGAGCTGTGGCAGAGACGGTCGCCCTGGAAGCTCTCCATCCCTTTGATGGACGGGAAGTTCTTCTTGCCCGAGTGGCCAGTTGCGAGAATGACGTGGCGCGGATGCACAGTGCGGGTTTCCGTCGTGCCGTCGTCTTTTTGCCGCTGCAGGGTGATCGTCCATTGTTTCCTGCTCTCGTCCCAGGATGAGGACGTGAGAGTGGTGCGGACCCAGACGTTCAGCTCGAGCAGTTTGGCATAGGACTCGAAGAATTCGGCCAATTTGTCTTTTGGGGTGAAGATGGGCCATGTAGATGGGAACGGGATGTAGGGCATGTGGTCGTACCAGACTGGGTCGTGCAGGACGAGTTGATGGTATCTTCGCCGCCAGTTGTCGCCGATGCGATCTTCACGATCGACCACCAGCGTGTCCACGTCGAGCATTTTCAGGCGGGCGGCAGCAGTGAGACCACCCTGGCCGGCACCTAAAGATAATCTATTAGCACGTATAGACCTCCTAAGCATCCTCTAGCAAGATGGCCGTACCAATAATCAGCACAGTCGGCTCCTTTCCCTCGAGGTTCGCCTCTGCCGTTCGTCTTTCCTGCCAGTTCTTCCGGTCTGGCCGTCCTCCATGCTCGACGCCTTTCGGTCGTCGATGGTTCAGGTTTTCTTCATGACCGGACAACTCACGCAGCGACGTGAAGAAAGTAAAGATCTTCCATTGACCATCCTTCTCCTCCGCCAGTCTTGCCACACCCTGACCCTTACCAACCTCGGTGGTGAAAGTGACGAAGAACTCGACGCCCTTGGCCTCCCCAATCCCGCCATCGATGGGACCAAAGTGCGGAGCGCGCAAGGCCGACGACCGATCGATCTCGACCTTGGTGAGACGGCAGCCTTCGGAGAGAAAGCTCGCTATCCGGTCTCGACCCTTCAGCGTGTGCAGATCCCACGAGAGAGCCAGATGGTCCCGCCAGTAGCCGTTTTCTAGGAACAGCTGTGCGATCGCCTGGTGGTCCTTCGCTTGCAGGGCCTTGTTCAGATTGTCGATGGCTGTCGTTGCCACCTCGTCCACGGACGCTGGGGGTGTAGAGCTCGTGGCGGGGGGTTGTCCCACGGGGATGTTGACCGAGCCCGGTTCGACTCTGTCCCGCGAGAGGACGATACGGTGGGGGAGGGTAGTGGTGGTGGTAATTTCTACTTCTGTGGCCATTTTTTTGATAGGAAGATAAATGAACGAGAGACACTGGGAAAGAAAGCAAAGCACAGAGGGCAGGATGGTCCATATATGTAGCCTTGCCAAGCGGACTGATCCCGAAATCCCCGCGCTGGAAGGTCTCCTTCGGGATAGCTTCCTTTCTTCATGCAATACCAGCCCTCCTGGTCAGGTCAAGGGAGACCTCGAGTGGTCTATTTCAGGACTTTTGGCCCCAGGCCCACCCTGAACTGCATAGTTATTATCTTCTTCCCAAAAACATATCATTGGCTATGTTTTCTCACGTGGCCTTTATGATCTACGTTTGGGCAGGGTTCTGTCTGTCTTTGCCATATTTCTGGCCAGCATGCATCTACGGAGTATAATGGAGTATATAATTGGTGCTGACTACACGGTTCACCAAAAATTAGAATTCAACAACAGTGAAGATCGTCTTGTTGCAGCATTGCTGAGAAAACGGAGAATTAGGGCTTTCTTCAGAGCTGTTGGTGTTTCTACGAAACTAATTTGTCACACGTATGTACATACAGTACAGTACGTTCAGTAATGTCACATGTCGTACATGTAGAGTACAACGACTTCCAAGGTATTTCGAGTCCTGACCAGTGCAGCCAGATGAGAAATCTGTGGCACATCACAGCTATCCGAATCTCTCGGGGAACGTTCCGAACAGCAGACGTGGCAGCTAGCGAGAGCCTAGGCAATGATATCCATGAAGGAGAGCTTCCCCGCATGCCGCGGGGTTGGCGGGTCTCGGGCCGGGGAAACTCCATTTATGTCTGGAGATGGCGTTCGGGAAACCTGCCTAATCTGTCAAAATGGAGTAGACAGTTCTGTCTATCTGGAAAGCATTGTCCTAATCCACGGCGCATAGTCTGGTCTTCTAAATCATGAAAAGACGTTGATGCTGTATACAACATGTGACTCTCATAATCACGTGATGCTCCTAATCTGGAAGTGTCGAGTCTGCTGACTTGAACTCCTGCTCTCAGTCTTGCGATCTCTGTAATTTTTTCTCATTTTTCGTCTTTCTACTTCGACACTTAGATCAATACTCGCAGCGCAATCCGATCTACGTGGGGGCTGTTCTCAATGTTATATTACATAATCACCCAAGAGTACAACTGGCTATCACTGCTGCCTATATAGCAGCGCTTTTCATATGAATCTCTCGCTTTCGCAATAATTGCCAGAGGAGGTCCTTTCGGAAATCATGTTTTCCTTGTTGAAGCACGCTCTTCCATCCGAATGACTCGCGTTGTTTTCTCTTGCATTCTTTGTGGACATCCCATCTGGCACGATGACCCGCTCTCGGAGTCTTGGTCGAGACAATTTCGTGCGGGTGAGTGACATGTTAGCTCTGACATAGTCAAACGGACCCACCAATAGAAATAAATACATGCACTCTACTCGAGTCCGGAGGGAACCCGGATCTCTGGCGTGGGCCTGTACACCAACGCGTTTGGCGGCGACTATATCGTCCCTCGCGATGAGACTGCCAGATGGGACGATTCTGGATACGATTCTTCAGCCTCGGACCAGCTTCCTGTGATGTGACAAATGCCATCATTTAAGGAGCATGGGTTTGTCTTTCATGACGCTTGCTGGTCTCTTCTGAAAGAGGTCTACCACGATGAACCAGTGCCTTTGGAACGCCTGGTGGAAGTGTGCAGGGCGGTGCCATTTCCGCACGGAGCAGCCGAGTTTATGAACTGGAGGCACGGTTACGGAGGGTTGGTTCGTCTCAATAGGCAAAGTTACTATCCATGGGAAGGGACGTCGGCAGAGTGCGATGACGAGGCAACAGCACGCCTGCATGCAGCAGAGAACCCGTGTGATGAAGAAGAGGTTCAACAGTTGTTGAAAGAACAGCGACAGTATCCACCAAGTGAGACGCTGATCGGTCAACGCAGAGTCTCAGACGAGAAAGATTGCTTCATGAGGATCCCATTCGATGTTTTGGACGAAATAGCCGCCTACCTAGCAACCGCAGACGTTCTACGACTCCGTCAAGCTTCGAGGGCTTTTGTCCCCATCTTTTCTAGTCAATCTTTCTGGGCCTCCCAATTTGAAGTCAACGGCGAACAGGGGTTCCTTTTCGAGGCGCGGAGGAACAAGGAGTCGCGAGACTGGCGATGGCTGTACCACCGCACGAATGACGCACATGGCTCTCCTGGACTGCAGAACAGAAAAAGGATTTGGTGTTTGAACAAGTCCCTGAAGGATATACTAAGCATGCGTTGGATGGATTCATCCACCATTCGTCGAGAGGACCTGGACGGAGCCGAGTGGAGATGGAAGGAGGTACATGGCGATCTGCAGCACGACCGATTTCCGGGTAGATTCCACGACGGTTGTCGCCTCTCGCGCAAGCAATGTACTCGTGTTCCTGATGTTCTTTCTCGCATTGCTGTCTCCACCATTCGGGACGGAGATGAGACCTATATTGTGGGCATGCGGCTTATCTCGACGGACGGGGCAGATATATATCTAGGCTATACGACCGAGGACAGAGAGCTCTCTGTAGACGTTACCGTTTTCAGAGGATTCGTCGTAGCCATTGGGTCAAGAGGCATCAACGGGTTGCAGGTTGTTATGGACCAGGGATCCATATCACGATGGCTTGGCTGTCCCGACGATTCGCCAAAGACACGCCGTCTTGTGGTTGCAGGATCCATCGCCGCGTTGGAGGCTGGATTTGATGTGTGTAATTTGTAGCGTTTCCTTCTTGTCTGACGATATTGTTCATAGTACCGCTGACTGCATGATAGGCATACAAGATGATCACTCTAGCCGTTGCCGAAAACCCATCCGTTTGCAATGCAACATCAACGGAACCAAGCGATCCACTACGTGACACCGCATTATGGTATCCCGATATCCCTCCCCCAGGCGTGTTCTTGAATGGCGAGGACTTTCTCAGCGAATACCCACACTACGACGAGGAATATCAGCCACTGGTGTGGACACTATTCGGCGGTCTGGATGGTATCTATCTTCGATCCTTGACAGGGATCTCTATCGTCTTCCAGCGCTTTGTGCGCGCAATTGAGTTTCATTATAACACCGATGATATCCCCACAGAATGCCGCAAGATGGGCCGTTACAGGCCCAGTGTGCAGGACAAAGTTACGTACTTTCCCATTGATGGACCTGGTGGGGAGGTCATTGAGGCTGTTGAACTATATGTGAGAGCTACGCCTAGCAATGTCAAAAGTCCAGGTTATGCCTATGGAGTGACGAGACTATTCAAGGTCGGTTCTTCCTTTTTTTTTTGAATCCACTTGTTATCATGTACTTACTGAAAATAATAGCTTTTCACAAATCACGGGCGATCCCTTCATATCCAAGCAGAAAGAATGCCGGAAATAGTCAGGACAAAAACATTAAGAGCCGCTCCAGGAACTACTATTACTGGGTTCTATGCCGTCCATGTAAGTGTGCACCTTACAGCTGAGATCAAGTAGATGCTGACAAGATGACAGCATCGGAGAGATGGACTCATTAGGTTTGGCATTATATCTGATGTAGTCAAAGGGAGTAGACCAAGTACATACAGCACATGAATGAGGTTTTGCGACGACATGACATGGATACCAAGTCTTAGATATGATAGTCTGGTAGTCGGTCGATGGTCAAAGGTCGAGAGTTCATGTGACCGAGGAATGGAGAAACCAAACTCCAACATACCAGTACATACTACTATACAAGCATGGTATCCAACATACAGCAAACTACCACAACATTATACCCATCTCTGTATAAATCCTTGACCAGAAACATCTGCTACATGCGACCATAGGGTGTGGAAAACAGGGCTTCCCGTCCGCTCAGCCGTACTTAAGCCACAATTATAAGCGCGGTCAATTGTCAATACAGCCCTAAAGTTATTGCCGCTTTAAAAGTGGCAGTCGTGCGAGATGTAGGTGAGTGCAGGTGAGCACAGGTGAGCAAAGTGATGCCTTGGAGAAATGGGGGTGAGCAGGGTGAGTTGGTGGGTGAGCGAGGTGATTCAGGGGTGGGACTGAAGGCACTGCAATTTAGAGTACATATGAGGGCGTAGAATAAGACATATAGGCATATCTCTGCCTGACCATTTTCTTTTCTATTTCTCTTCTTGTGCTACCTGTAACTGAAAACGATCTCGATACCTATGATCACGTGATGAACCCTACTAAGGAGGAGCAGAGACAGTGGAAAGTTGGCAAAAACTTGCCGAGTCCTGCGGCTTCACTGCATCCTATCAACAAGAACAAGAAAATAGTGACAATGTGGTGTCTTCAGAAGAGACAAGCTCCTGCGACTGATGTCTCATATGCCAGGGCTGTTGAGAACTGGTATTTGTACTCTGAATCTTTTAGCAACAGATGCAGATATGATGCAGTTAACTTCTCCTTCCAGTCAGAAGATGGAAACCCAAAAAACCTGTAAGGACTTCAAGATTAGAGGACATGGTAATTTAATGCTCACATAGTGAAACAAATACATCTCCAGGAACTGTACCACCACATGCTACCTACTTTGCATTATTGTTGTCACCATTATTCTTATCAGTATCACTCTCATCTTCTTCATCTTCTAGATGTATAGTTCCCCAGCAAGGACCATTATTACACAGCATCTGGATAACATCTTTGTGTCCATTGGAGGAAGTAGCCTAAAGAGTAGAGCTGTAGTCTCCACTCTAGGTATTGACATTGGCCCCCTTATCTAGCAGGATCTGGACAATCTTCTCATGCCCTCCTGCTGCTGCTGCATAGAGAGCAGTGCCATAGTGTCCACCTTGGGCATTAACATCAGCACCATGCTTGATTAGACATTTGACTGCCTTTGTTAAGCCCCCAAATGATGCATAATACAATGCATCAGCTGGCTTTTCTGCTTCTATGAACATATTGTTCTGTAGCCAAAAATACTCATTTTTCCATGGCTGATCTGGGTCATAAATGTAATACCAGTTAATATATGACCCTTTGCGGTGGAGGAAGAACTCCATAGTTAGCCTATGCAATACTTTATTCTCTCCTTTGCCCACAGCAGCATGGCCCATCCAGTACTGTGTACAATACTGCGCCAATGGGAAGTCACCTCTGATCTTATGCACCAGAAGGTCCTGGTCCAAATGCAACAAATATGCTAGACAAACTGCTGCAATTAATGCTCTGGCGACCATCTCCTGGAAATATTGTGTGAGATGTTTATTAAGCTGGTTTGACATCAGATATTCTTTGACAGAGAAATGCGCCAATTGAAGCACCGCCCCTTTGTTATTCTCATAGGGCATATATATATATCCCTCATAGGGCGAATTTTTTATGGGCACCACAACCACTAAGCTTGAGCAGTATCGCGAGACCTCCTGTGGATCAGGCATCTGGTTTTTTGGATTAAACTGTGGATCCCCTTCAGTATCTACTGCTATTATATCGACAGCCTCCTCAATCTGCAAAGGCCGCTCAGAGAATACCAAGAATTGAAGAATCCTTATGGCATTCTGCTTGTATTCATGAGGGATGCCACGCAAAATCCGGGCATAGGTTTTGTCCAATGTTTTTGGAAGGGATGTGAGTGCATTTTTGAGCGTGGGATAGTCCAGGCAATTTTCTAGAGCATCAAGCTGGCATGCAGCCCACCGAAACCTGTATTGTCTTAGCTTTTCTTTAGATAAACAAAGTAATGCACAACAGCAAAACTCTTACATTCCATCCACCTTTTCAATCAATCTTGCCTCAATCTCCTCCTGAATGTCTGGTCGCAACTGCCACCTTTTCAGGCCCTTATCTTCTCTAAATCTCATAGAGATGTATGCATGGATATCATCAGTGACCTTGTCACTCTGAATGGGCATTATGTATTCATCATGAGCCCATTCACTTATTGTCGATTTGATGTCTTGTTCTGGGCGGCTGGTGACAAGAACATGGACATTACTTTGCTCCGAGACAAGGTCTTTTATCCATGGTAGCAGCCCTTCAGTTTGGGACTCTTTCCTGCTATGGCATTCATCAAGGGCGTCCAGTACAATCCAGACTTTATCAAACTGCTGTATCATGTAGAGAAGAGTTGTACACAATGAGTTGGTAGTCAGCTGTCGATTTCCCTCCTCACAAGAGGAAAATAGCGAATCTAATTGTGTCCAAGTATTCTTCTGCTGATGAGTGGGCAGATCATGCTCTCATGTGACTGCTTACTGGTGTCGTTAAAGTCAAAATAGAAGTAAAGAAGGGCCTGAGAGTAGGAGCTGGTCTTCTGATGATGGTGGAGCTGAGGATTATTTTCCCACATCCAGGTTTACCGCAAAGCCATAGAAATGAGTTTGATTGTATCTTCCAATTTGCAAAGACCTCACTTTGTAGGAACCAGAGGCCTGAGCCCTTGTGCTGTAGTGCTAATGCTTTGTTGTAGTTGTTAAGGGATCAGGGGGGGACAGCCACTTCATGACTTTCCATTGATGATTATCAAGGTGTAGTCTATCAATACTGCTTTTTGTCTCTTCAGCAGTAGAAAATATATTGGAAACCTTTTGTTCAACTACATATGGAGTTAATACCAGATTTTGCAGTATTTCTGAAGTTGACTAACTGTTTTTGAGAATATTGGCAGCCTTCTGTATTCTTTCCAAATCTTCTCCTGGAACAACTCCTAGAAACTCCTTTATATATGCAGCAGCAGTTGCAGCAGCATACCTTTGCCAGTGATTGTTTTTGTGGGAATCTGCAAAGTTGCAAATTCCACTTATAACAAGACAAGGGAAGCTGTTTATCAGTCCAGCTGCTTCCATTTCAAGACAGATGCATTCCTCCCCAGTGTCCTGGACTATCAAGTCTCTGGTGGCAGCATCTTTGACTAGTGTGTTGCCAGAGGCAATGACACCATAGTGAATCTAAATCGACAGGCTTTTCGTGTTGCTCATCAAGCATTGCGGTTGCCGCCGCTAGCTCTAATGGAAGAGCAGCGATCCATCCGACAGTGTACTCGTCACGGTTTTTGAGGCCTTTACAGAAGCCATCACACGCAAGCAAAGCCAAAAGAGTAATCATGAGGTAGCTATGTCGTTCACAGAGTTCAGCATACGGAGTTCTCAGCCTCAACGTGTACTTCTTATGAACTGCGGAGGCTGCCGCAGCCCCGCCATTGCAGTTAATGACCCGAGCCAAGCAGATCCCTGCAACAAGAGTTTTGCCAGCGAGTCTGCAGGTCAATTTGTCCCTCGGTCTAATAAAAGATACTCACCAATAATGATCTCCACAGATACCTCTGGAAATTCTGCAGGCAGCTTGATGACCTTAAGACAACTAACAAAAATCATATGCACTCGACAAATTCATCGAAGTTGCACATTTTTTTACACTGCCCTTCCAAGAACACAGGGCAGCTGCACACCCGGGATCAGGATTGAACTGCACTGCGGCTTGGCTAGACAACCTTACTTATAAGGTCCTCACATAAATCACCAGTGGACGTTCAATATCGTGGCCATGTGTGGGCATGATGAAACTCGTCTCCTGCGGCTGAGACGCTGAGGGTGAGCCGATCTGGATCAGGATCCAACCAGCGGCAGTTGTTCAGGCTGAGTGGCATTGTGCAACCGTCACATAATCCTGGGTGAGCAATCCCTCAGGCATCACCCAGTG